AACAATAATAAAAATGGAACCTTATCATAAGATAACAACATTATAAACTCCTGTCCACCATTTCTTATACTCCAATACAAAAGAAATGCATGAAATAAAGGTGGAAAAAACTTTTAACAAGGATATCGCAGCAAGTGATCAGTCTAATAATTACCACAATATGTTATTGTTAAAATTTAGAAGGTCATATTATATTGACCTTCCTATTTTTTGAACTGGAGCCTGGTCCAAAATTTAAATAGGTTATTAATTCTGTATAATTCCATCACTTCTTTAACTAAGCACTGTCAATATCTGATAAACAATTAAGTACTGTTAACAGCACATCATGTTATAAAAACTGTCTAATTTCTTCAATGATAATTTAAGTCTTAATGAGCAAGAAGCAGAAGTCAAAATTTATTGTAAAAAGGCATTAATGTTTACTTTATTTGCTGCTCTATGTATTAACAATGAGGTTTGAGTAAGGGATGACATAAAAGTAAATATTTTATTATTAAAAACATAGGTAATTTATAACAATTTTCGCGCGTAAATAAATATACATAAAGTAACAACAATAGGACCATAAAATTCAATTTCAGGAAACATAACTTCTTATTTTATATTTATAATACCTGGAATAGTGCAGAAACTTAAATGTATGAGCCTGATAAATTTGTGATGCTACACATAATAATCTATTTATGGGTAATGACATCGCTTCCGAAGATCACCCAAAGAACCAGTTAGAAAAGATTTCACTTTTTTTAACCGTCCACAAGCTTTATTAGTGTAGATTGTCCTTGGAAGCTGCTACTTGAACGAATATAGGAGGTATCATAGTAAGGTTTACCTTCAAAACACCGAGTTATATCATAAAGGTTTTGAATACTAAAATAGTGACTAATCATTACTGAAACTTGAGAAATATGTCAACGAATTTTAGAATATGTATTCTACCTTATATTTTTTTGTACAGAATGCATTAAATTACTTACGGTGCATTTAATCAGCTTCAGGGAAATCTGAACTGTTCTATTCATTCACCATGAACTGTTTAGACCAAAAACACCAGGTACACTTAGACACTATTAACAAATCACGTCACAGTCACCAGAAAATCACAAATAGCTACTTTTATCTCGAATATTTTACACGTTTTCTGCGTAAGCAATCCTCTCTGTAATTTTGACGTTACGTGAGTCGGCCATTTTTCTGGTAAGAACAACAAAAGCAGGGAGTGTTGCTAGTCAATAAATAAAACCTCCACATTTTGTTTTGAGTTTATTATTATAAACTGCTACTGCTTTCTTTATCTATTTAACCTTAAACATAAAAAACTACATCAATCTTACATATCTTAGCTCGTTCAGAAAGGTTTAAGTAAGTATACATATATTAATCCAAAATCTAAAAATTAGTGCTAAGTACAAGTTTATTCTGGCTCAGGCGGATGTTGGGCCAAATGACGAAATGAAGTCATTTCAAACATTATATTAATCCATATGATCAATTTTCTTTTATGTTAGTAATAAATATTAACTTTTATTAATAACAATTTTTTATTTTCTACTTATATTACAAAAGTAAATACAATTATGATTGAGTAACAAATAATCTCCTCAAAATCATGCAAAATCCTCATGTACCTTCACGAAAAGTTCCCGTACAGTGTAGTGTTGAGATCCATTGAGAGAGTATCGCACATGCGCTTTGACTGACCCGCCACTGAACTAGGGCACTAGGGCATCGACATGTCCCTGCCAGCCGCTAGGTCATCCATGCACACAGATATACATATAGGTCGGTTATCTAGGCCGTATTGTTTTGGTCTAGATTACGTGGGTGTTGTTAACGGTACACCTTTCTGAAGGGGTTGGGAGCCATTGGTAAACTAAAAAACATCGATATCAATATGATTTTATATAGTGTATATATTACAAAATGGCCAAAAACAAAGAACTATGTAACTACGTACAACGTAAAAGACGGGCTTAATACTGACAGCACTATAATGGCTTTTCTTCGGACAATTCTACCTGTCAAGTGAATAAATTAATTTCTACATGTAAAATGAAAATGAAATAAATGAAAGATGGTGATAGTCTACAATTCCAGAAAATAGGTCTTCTTCTTCTTTTTTTAATTAATGGCTTATCTGCGCATATCGCACAATTCTGCCAATGTCAAGTAAAAATCAGAAAATAGGTCATTAATATTTAAAAAAGTGTCAGTCAGTCTCACAGTGTTAGAAATGAAAACTTGACCCTATACATGGACTGGGAATTCATGAGATCATAGCCATTTTTCATTCATTTCATTTTCATATAGAAACTAATTTATTCATTTGTCATTGGCAAAATTGTGCGAAATGCGCAGAAAGGCTATTAATAAAAGAAGAAGAAAATTATATACATTATTACATAGAGATAAATAATCCAGTTACGTAGTATATCTATACTCAGTATAAAATTAAATCGCTTCCCGCTGCTTGTACGCTGATATCTTTTAAACTATAGAACGGATTTTAATGCGACTTTCATTGATATACAGAATGATTCAAGAAGAAGTTTATATGTATAATAATATAGGACGAAGCGGGCGAAGCCGTTGGCGGAAAGCTGCTACACTGGAGACAGTCCGACAGTGCATCAGTTGAATAAAGAACTCTGAATTAATTTTAAATTGCGAAAAACTTTCCAAGTGATAATTTGATTACCCCTATTTATTGTTTATAGACGACTTATCATTTATTTAAGCCTTATTTACACATGCTGCTATAAGCAGATATATTAACAATAGGGTAGCTTGATTACCTATATGGGAAAATACTTAAAAAAGTTTTACAAGCCTTGTCTAAGAGTTATGATTTATTAATTTCTGCAAATGCGGTTTTATAATGTTTTACACGCCTTTTAGAAGGAAAATAAATTTGAGTTTCCCGACCTTTTAATAGTAAGTCATAATCAGAAAAAGAATGAGCTTCCATAACAAATAAGAAGACAAACTTTATTTTAACCTCATACTCATAGGCAACTATTTTTACGTAGTTGTAGGATTATACAACATCACTCATTAACTTAGACCAGGAGTGCACTTGCGATTTTTTGTCATCGTAATTTATTTTTTCTGTCATTTGTATGGAAGTCACTTGATTTGTCACATATTCAAGAGCGTGTGCAACGAAATGGATTATTAAGTCACCAAAGCGCGAGTAGCCTTACCATAAGACGAGGAGTCGTCGGAATGCATATTACGACTAATATAGTCGTAATATACACTCCGACGTTAGATATAAAACATATTTAATAATGTAATATACACGTCGATAACAGACGAAAGAAAAAAACTGCTAAAATTGTGTAATTCTGTTTAATATAAAAAACATGTCGGCATAAGACAATATTTTGTACTAAAAATAAATTATTTGACAATTATATATTATTTATTATTCTAAGGTAGGTTAATAAAGGATAAACGCTAATGTCTGCTAATATTTTCCCTGAGATCGCGTGAGGCAAAGATTACTGGTGAAGCACCTCTATATGTACCTATTTCCATGCACACTGTGTGTACATTTCAACTGGCATCCTTATAAATAAGTGAGTAAATATTATAAATATAATTTAATAATCCATATTACAATTGAACTTTTTTGAGTCAAAGAAGAAAATTATATAACGGCGTTTTATTTCTTTGTGCCACTTTAGTCTTGTAGTAATTAACAGACGTTTCTAGAAGTACATCAAAAAGGTTTATTTCAATCATGTTTAATGAGCAAATATCAATAAAATGCCTTATTTGTTATTCTTAGTCTACATTCATATATATGCGTTTATGTCGCGCCACTGAGCACTAGGTTAATTACGTGATTTTACATGTGACAAACGTAGCTCACACGGTGCAGCCGTAACAGTAAAACGCCTATATGTGAAAGAGCAGTTATTATCACCTATAGTTTTCTTATTCACGTAAAACTATTCTAATAAAAGTAAAAAAAAAATTTTTAAATATAAAAATCTAGAAACATGTTTTGCCATAAAAGTAAGCATAACTTTTAGTGCGCTTGGAAACACAATCTATTTCACTTAATGTGAACCATAAAAAACTTAGAATGACTGACAAATCAACCGTAGGTTTTGACGCTGAAAAATGTATTTACAAGCGCGCTAAATATACATTTATTTTCTAGTCAATTCAATCAATATCACATTCATTACATTTAATACAATTCTTTCTGCTTATTATAAATAAATGTAGAGATACTGTCATACACCTCTCGTATATTTTTACTTTACCCAAAAAAGTTTTTATGTAGTAAAATTATACTCCTGATAAAAAATTCGTTGAAAGAAACATTCGGGTAAACAATTTCAGCTGTCAGGCCAACTCAGCTGCCTGTGCGAATTTAATCAGCACTATGCGTTTTATTTTAATGAGTCATTACATTTTGCAGACGTCTATATTAGTTTGACAGAGAACGCATATTCGATAACTATCGAATATGCGTCCACTGCGATTTTTTTTCAAAATCATGAAAATTTTTACTGGGCCTAAATTTTTGTCATTTTAAAAACATTAAAATAATATGAAAACGCTCATTGTTGCTAAATATATTATAAGACATAATTACCGGTAACAAAAAGTTTGGTTGGTTTATAAGAACACTTTGTGACCACCGCATTAAAATTCATTAGAATTTCTTACGAATGTCTCGTAATCTTATATATATATATGAATAGGCTTATGTTTATAGACAAGAGCTATGGTAAATAAAACTATCAATCACACCCCAGTTCACAAATTTCTAAGATCTATACAGTTGTTATAATTTTGACATATTAAACAATTTCATTCTCACAAGATAATAATAAAATGACTTAAAAAAGCTCATCATTACGTATTTCCCATAAGAAATTGGTGGAACGAGATTAAAACTTCTACCATAATAAGAAAGAGAAAGAATACTGACATGCACGTTCTTTTCTTAGAATACATTTTTTTTTAATTAAATTTTTAATCGCGTATAGAAAATCAAAAACTGACCCAATTTTAAATACGTTTGAAGAAAAACAATCTTTATCTCAATAAAAGCAATCTTTGTTTGACGGCATAAATCTCCATTCATAAAGTCAGTGTTGCCAGTGCGGAATTCGCCTAAAATACGGGTATCTTATCTCTAGGAGTATACCGGAGGTTGTCGTCAAGCGTAAGTAACATATTGAAGTATAAGAACATGCCGGCGGCAGATGTGACGTGCCATACGTCGTGCGAATCATAGAACTGAAGCACCGAGCACACTGCGTTATGTTGACGAGACTGCGCCGGCGTTTGCTAAGGACCGATCATAAATTTACCGATTTATTATTTTTGTTATTATTAATATAAATACAGTCTATTTGATTAATTGATATCAGCAATAAGGGACAGAAACAGTTTGAATTGTCGTGTGCTTTTTTATATTAAATAATCATGTGTGCCGGATTACCTGAATTCAGGCACCGTTTAAAATTGCAATACAGCTCTTAATTTAAACATTAAACATCTTTAATGTTTAAATTAAAAGCACTCAGAATATTATCCAATTCCCTATTGTGGAGTTTGAGCAACTTTCAAAAGGGCCGGTAATAGGATGGGTAACCAAAAATTTACTATTCCGACTTCCATGCTTCGCAAAGCATGTTCAACCGTAATTCCCGGTTGCATTTGCAGTTGTTAACACCCATCAATTCGCATTGGGCCCGCATAGTATAGCTTATTCTTCATATTTGATTGTATATGATAAATATTGCTTACAAAATTTTATATCAATATTAATATTTCAAATATGCATGAGCAGAATTTAAACTATCCACTTACCGACCACTTGGTCCTAGCGTCGAGAAAGAAAGAGATAGCAAGCGCCCAGCAGACGAGCGTGCCGACCAGATATAAGGTGCAATGTAAAGATATCCTCTCCTTGTTAACCAGTTTCATGACCACGTAGAAAGTCGTGTACAAGAATGTGTTTCCCATAAGGATGGCCAGAAGATGGCGCGCGAAGTCTTTGTTGTGCTCGTACAAGCTTTAAAACACAATTAACATAATAAAAGTCTTATATCCGACCTAAGCGACGTAGTTGTAGTCCAGCTAATTATAAAAATGTAAAACAAGGAATCTATCCACACACATTGAGTATTTCGATAGCGTAATGGATAAGCGCCACGCGCGGCCCGCGATCTTTGTCGTTAAGCAACTTTCACAAGGATCGGTTAAGGGATGGGTGACCAAAAAAAATTATATTTCAAGCTTCTACGTGTTTCGGAAGACACGAAACACGTAGAAGCTTGAGATATAATTTTTGTATTACGAACTCTTTTGATATGTGTATTTAACATTTTTTGTACTTTTTATATTTAAATATGTCATTTCAACAAAGAACAAGACATCTAGTTAGTTATAGTTTCTTTTATTAATACTTCATTCCATTTTCGCTGTATGATATAGCACACGTAGATCTAAACTAAGACAACTCAAAAAACTAATGTGGAGGTCTGGCAATACATTTGTTTACGTGGCAGAAGCGCGACCACTGTTGATTCAACAAAAGAAAGCTAAAGTTATCTAGCGGCTCATCCCCGAACCTTTACTGAATCTGATATGTTGGATAGATGCGTATGATCACCGAGTATTTAAATATTGTACTAAGTCAAAACTCACTCAAATTTTTGAGTTGTCTCAGTTTAGATCTAGGTGTGCGACATGTACTTACCCGTAAATAGCTAGAGCCCAGTTGGCTATGTTCGCTAGTGCTAGTAGAACAGCGCGCGCTGTATAATTCGGCCTGAACGCGAGTCTACCGTGCTCGCCCACCGCACGCCATACCCGCAATGCTACATACCTGTCTACAAAACATTCCAACATTTAAACGCAACAGACAATAAGATCCCACCCCGTCAACTTATATTTTTGAAAATCAGTATCATATTTGAGTATATTTAGTAAATGCATAATAATAGTGGGTGATGACTTATTTTTGTATCTCTTTCCGTTGGAAACTACGGTGATACATTAAGTTGAATGTCACATGACACCTTTGCACATTTTCTACATAGTTGTGACGTGACGAACTGCCACTCTTCAATTTCAATGCCTATTATCTAAGCCACTTCTTAAATAGAAGCAAAAAATTAAAAACACAATTCTATTTGGCTCAATATGTTTATTAATTTTTTTATTAAAAACACAACACAAATTAGGTTTTATTAAAAACACAACTCTATCTGGCTCAATATGTTTATTTTATATTATTAAATGATTGCAACACTATTTCCATATTTTCACCCGAGCGGTATATTTGCGCGAATTCTTATGTCAATATCAAAGTTACTTTGACAGATAGTGATTCCCGTAATACAATCGATAAATAGTGATTTCCATGGTATTCGATATTTTTTTAGTTTAACAGTATCTAATATTGTTCTAATATGTAATTGACGGACTAATAGATTTTCTTTTCTTTTTACTCAGTTATCATCTCTATTATAAAATAGATCTATTCAAATATATAGTAAGCTAAACTTCTTTTGACATACATATTTTTTAAAAATACAGTGTAAGTAGTTGTAGATTGAGCATGTTACGGGGCACGGAAGCTTTTTCAGATTCAGTTTTGCTCAGAGTTCATACTTAACCTAACCGATTCATTGGTTCTTTCTTGGTTATGCCAAACAAAATTACTAGAAATCATGCCAGGCATACTTCTATCCTACCTGCCATCTAAACAGTATGTCATTTTTAAAGTCATACCTGCCATCTAAATAGTATGTAATTTTTAGGTAACCGACGATAGTGCTTATGAGTATATGAATGATGACGACAGCCACGTGCCGCGAAAATGAACAGATCGAACGACCAATCTGCGTAGGCGCCGTCTGCACGGTGGGGGCGATTCCCCACCCGGCGCGCGGGCGTAAAACGCGCCTTGATTGGCCGGCCGCCGCACGTCATTACTACTATGTCATTACTTAGCTTTTTTTTTATGGGATAGGGGGCAGACGAGCAGACGGATCACCTGATGGTAAGTGATTACCGTCGCCCATGGACACCTGCAACACCAGAGGGGCTACAAGCGCGCTGCCGACCTTGGAGGGAAGGGTTGAGGGGTAGAGGGAAGGGAATAGGGAGGGGTTGGGCCTCCGGTACCCTCACTCACACGACGAAACACAACGCAAGCGTTGCTTCACGTCGGTTTTCTGTGAGGCCGTGGTATCACTCCGGTCGAGCCGGCCCATTCATGCCAAAGCGTGGCTCTCCCACGATACACGCTACGTTAGACATTAAGTTTAGAATAAGGGTAGGGCCAAAATTGTAAATATTTGGTCGGAATTAGGTAGAGTTATTCATGTACTTACACTGATTTCATACAGCGAAAGAATAAAGTGGATATGCCTCAAATCCCGAGATTAATTTTAAAGAGCAGAAAAAATCCCGAGATTTTTTAAATAAAAAGTTATTTACTTTTACACAATTTAAACTACTGCACGCACGACGTTGCCAAACTTACATCAATGACATCGGACGTCCAAAGTTGCAAAATACCAATACGCGAGATGTTGCCACGAAGGTCCACATTAATATCAACATTTCGATGCAAGTACATAAATAACTCTACCTAATTCCGACCTCTGGTCATTAGTAGTCAAGCAGTCAAATTGTAAGATACCAGTTTTAAGAAGAAAAAGTTGTACAGGAATAAATCGTCTTAAGAAGTCAAACCATCTTTATTTGCATCTGTACACCATACAGCCATCGAAATAAAGCACCATCCCCAACAGTTGGTCCTTCGAGCCGGAGCACCAACAATGAGTATTTGTCAAAAAAATATTATTCCAAATAGGCTTCGGAACATCGAGTTTTAGCTGTTATAGGGAACGGAATAAGACATCGAGCAATGGTGGCCATTAAGTATGTTATTCATGTCTATATTAATGTGATAAAACAAATAAATACAATTATTACAGTATAATGGAGGCTTATGAAATTATATCGGAGGATATTAAAGTGTTTGAGATAACCTGAACTAAACTCCCTATATGATACGCTTTTGTCGGTCACGTGATAGGTAAGAAATGTAAATCAATGGCGAAAGGTAACCATAGGGGTCGTCTTAAATTTCAAGGTTATTTTTTTCAGAACACCGAATAACATAACGCTAACGTATAAAAAGATATTTCAGCAAATTATTTGATTTCTATTTGGACATATTAATGTAGAATTAATGATATGTCAAAACGTGGATTGCCATATCATGAAACGTTGACTTTGTCAAAAAATGACCATTTCATGGAATAACCGGCGGCAACGTGAAGTTATCAAATTCTATGATCTAGCTACGAAATATACATACACATTTTTAGATATCAGTTTAGAAACATGTGAAATACACTCTCACCGATTCTGAACTGTCCCAAGTAGTAAATCTTAAGTGTGAGCACAAAACACGTGGCAAGATGAAGTACAGTGAACAGTGCCCAGAAGTAAACGCTTGGATACATGATGCCGAACAAACCTGCGCATACACAAGTAGTTAAATTAAACCAATTTAATAAATAACTCCATAAATATTATAAGAAAGCGCTATAAAATCAGTTCAAATCTTGTTTTCATAAAAACTAGTAATTTTCATGCGACTTCACCCGTGTATGTAGCTTCCCGTAGGTGAATAAAATAATTATATCGGTCCAGTGGTTTCAGAGCCTATTCAATGCAAACAAACAAACAATCTAATTTCTCTTTATAATTTTAGTATACATAATTTGTTTCGAAATAATATTAAAGTAATAGTGTACCTATCGCCATGACGGCGGCTAGAAGCATAAACGTAGCGTGCGCGCTAGCGTTCACGTCAGCGTGACGACTTTGATACAGTTTCACCATACACAGCACCGCTATCACGTACATAAACGACGAATCTGTTCATAATACATGTGTTGTTTAATGAAAGACTGAAACACATCTATTAATAAATCATTCGCGGAAGAGTCTTAAAATGCAACAAATATGGCTCACCGATGTACCTGTGCAGAAGGCTAAATGACCAATCAGAATGATTTAAGTAGCGCACTATGTAAATTTCATTGCTGAATGTGAGATGTGCAGCTAATGCATTGTAATTTATACCCCCTAATTATTGAAATGAGACTCATTATAGATGTTAAGCACATTTTAGATCATCGTCTATTTCGCGTAAGCGACGCCTTCAAATATAAATTTAAAAAAATCATAAACATCTGTAATAATTACAGAACTATTTTTAGTGATCACGCGAGCGTCTCAAGTGTTATTGAGAGTAATAAGTCCCTTTTTCTCTCCCCCCCTCTCCCCTTCATTTTCATTGGTCTTTTCTACATACCTAAACATTTATAATTTTCAAATTCAAACCTACTATTTAAAAAAAAATTACAATGGCAAAAAATAACTTTTGTTGTATGAGAGCCCCCTGAAATATTTATTGATTTGTTGTTATAGAGCGGCAATCGAAAAACAGCATCTATTAAGATTTCAATTTTGTATCATGAGATACGACCTGATAACAGACGGACAGACTGGGGTCCCGTCGTCCTTTGGGTATTCTACCCCCCCCCCCCCCCCAACCTTCAGTGCAAACATAGTGCTTGAATGACTTCTATACTTACCGAACTGAAAGTTCATCTTATTGGGGCATAGATGGTAGCAAGCAGATAGCAGTCCCTCCATCGCTAACGCTAGCCCCAGCGAGTATAGCAAACCGCGATGTTGAGGTATACCGGTCTCCTGATGACATACTATATATTAAATTATATCATTATTTGACGTATTACTTAGGTTGGATTGTACCACCATAATAAGAAGGGTTAAATAAAATTTTACGATAACTGTCACAGACTTTTTTTAATTTGCCCGGCCTTACAAAATTTGCCCGAGCACTTACTGCTCCACACTTAGTAGCAGGACGTTATGATTCTCTATCTATATCTCTTACATTCCAGTTATATTACACATTCTTGTCACGCTGACTTTTGTCGCATTGACAGCGGACACCGTTGCACTATCCTCTTTCTTGGCGTAGTGAAACAATAAATTTAACCAATCAGTGCCGAATTAAGCCAAAGCGGGGCCCGTAGCAGCAAATCACCTCCCCTCCCCACCCCTAATCAACTAATCTGCGACTTGAATTTTGATTGTCAGTTTATGTTCATAATTAAAAATATGACTAGTCAGAAGCGTGGCTTATTTTATTTCTTGCATCATTTAACATTGACTTGAAAAATTATTTAATTAGCTTTAAACCACAGCAAGGCTCCCAATTGCGTGAGGCCCCTAAACACGCGGGGCCTGTAGCATTTGCTACTTTTGTTACGTAGCTAATCCGGCCCTGTAACCAGTCAAACATGGGCGGTTATAGTTAATAGTATCAGAACTTGTATATTGCGCCTTTTTGTTTCGGTTAAAATTCTGACCAATAGGCAGAGATGTACAAAATACCCTGTACAAAGTATCTGGAATACAAGATACAAAATACTTTTAAATTAAGTATTTCAGATACCAGATACGAAATACTTTCGAGAAAAGTATTTGAAATACTAGATACAAAATAGGTATCTTATAGATACTTTTTATAAATACAAATACTTTTCTAAAAAAAGATTTGAATTTAAGTTTGTTTATTAAAGACCACAAAAACCTAAATCTTAGACCAGATGGTTCCAGGGACAAAGTGGATTTTTGAAGCATTTTTCATTAGAAACAATTTTTGTAAGCTTTTATTTAGTTTTCTGTGTTTGTACTCAAATCTTACAAGCTAAATTTCACCCACTTTTCCTCCGTTTTATTTGTTTGTCAATCACAATGTAACATATAAAAATGCAAATATTTAATACATCAGGTTTAAATTATTTTAAAGTTTTTAGTTCCTTTTTAATAATAATTTTTTTCAATATAGCATTGTGAATGAAAAATTGCTGAAATATAACAACAACAATAATTATTTAAATTTAATTATAAAATTATTATTTATTTAAAAAGCTGGTTTTACGTACGACGTAAAATTACGGAGAACTGAAAATTCATTTTTTCCTAGTGAGATGAAGAGAGTGGGTAAAAATAAATACAGTACTTGGTTTTTAAAATTACTGGCGTGACTTGTGACGAGGTGAATGTGCGATAGTATGTAACGGAACGTATATTAACTTTTTTTGCAGAACTACCGAAAATTATGCCCCTTTAGTGTGTTAAGCTAATTTGAAAATTTTTAGTAGAAAATACTTAGCTTCTGTGGTTGATTATAGTACGTTGGTTTGTAGGAAAGGCTTATAATACGTAGATGTACCTAAAAAGACGTAGAGTTGGTATTGCTGGTACTGTTGGTAATGCGCCATTAGTTACCATCTGATCGGATAAATCCGGTCTCAACCGGACTTGAAGTATTAATTAAGTCTTTATCTATAAAATTTCCGTTTTTAATAAAATAAATAAATGCTGTTGTTAGTGGAAAAAGTATAATGTGCAAAAAAATAATAAAATTTAATAATGAGTTTAATTGATATACTGAGTTTTATTTAAAGCATATAACCGGGTTTTTACATAAATCAAGATTTTTTATTGCTTGTAACTGGTTATTCGATTTCAATCCCTATGCGCCATCTATCAATTTTTACTAGGGAGGGTGTATTACACCGGTATAACCGTACGTTCAGTTCTACGCATTTACTTTTTAAATGACACCAAACAATGTTTGGATTCGAGTTATTTTTAACTAAATATTCATTGCGTTGATAATTGAACACTTTCTTTTTGTAAATATGTATGTTTTAGGCAAAGAATGTTTTGTGATATTTATAAACTTTAAGAAACAATCTTTTAATAAAGTATTTTATCAGAAAAAGTATTTAAAAGATACTAAGATACAAAACAAAAGAATTTAAATACAAGATACAAAATACTTCCTAAAAAAAGTATTTTAGATACAAGATGAAAATACGTATTTTGTATCTTGTATCTGTATTTCAAATACTTGTATCTAAGATAAGTCACATCTCTGCCAATAGGTCACTTCTTTCATGTTAGTAAAATTGTGCGATTTTACTAACATGCCAAAAAGTTTAGCCTAAAATAACAACTTTCTTTTAGGATAACCATCATGAATCGTATGTATAAAAAAAAAAACAATTATAATAAAGTTTTATTACGCCATAACAATACAGGTGTAGACATTAAATGAATATAAAAAATCTGTTTGAGTTTAATTTACTATTTACCGATAGTCACACTTTTACGCTTATTAAAGCAATTTATTTAAGCAATATTATATACATATGTATAGTTATAATATTGCTTATAAAAAATCGAATATTTTATACTCCTTGTCACGTAAACGCAAACATGTGACTTTAGGACTCATTAGAGAATTAAACCTTATGCAGCGGACTAACCCCATTAGAGGCTCGGGACGGCAAGCAACCACCCCCCTGGCAGAAGATGGCGTTTTCGCAGGAAATTTTTATAATTAAACTTTAACTTATTATATGAATGAATATTATATATATTTTCTTTTAGTTATACTTCATGGATATCAATAAAATAAAAATTTGAAAAAGTTGTCTACGCCCCTATTATACAAAAATGGTTATGCCAAAGTATATTACGAATAAAACCAGTTTTATATCATAACCGGTTGGCTGTAAATCATAACTACAATATCTTATATTAACTATACTTAAGAACATATTTCCTCACCTGCTCGTTCCTCCTGCGCACTTGTAGCATAAATATAAGCCCAAAAACAATATAACCAACGTTTGAGTACACGTGGTTGAAATCGGAGAGTGTGCCAAGCGGATGGGCGCATAGGAAATTATAGTAGCACAAATCTTGATCGCCCGTTTGGAACACCATCTGTCATTAATAATACACACGTTCATCAACATTGTTGGTCTATTAAAGTTGGATGTAAAGACAAAAGAGAAAACGTTAAGAAATTACGAGCTCGTCTATGAGATAGATAAGGATAGAAGGGGATGTATGGCGCTTTAAAAATATTTTCAATAATTACTTGCAAATCATTATTCATTTATTGTAAAAGTGCTCCCGAAAGCCCTAGAATACTAAAAATGAATACCTGAAGACATATACCGAAAAGTATACCGAAAAGACATGGAAATACTGAGAATTTTAGGGGTAAATCGAGAATATCTCATAAAGTCACATTTTTAAATGACAAAAAAACCCTTAGATCCATTATTTGTACGTTATTTCAGTGTACACGCCCTTTTATGACTCGTTTTTGGATAATTTTCCTATGGAAATAACTTCAAATCATAGAGAACAATAGACATAATCAGTTTTAATTCATCACCTTTCGAGTATATTTCTTTGATGATTTTTTCCAATAGCTGTAAACAAGTCAATAATCAAAAAATGTACTAATATCTGCTTAAATCAATATGGTACAAAAATTTCGCAACCGTTCTTGTACGTCTTTTTATACATAGTAAAAAGCAATCTGACCTCAAAACTTTTGAGCACGATAAAATATATTCTACTAATCAAATAATCATCATTATCAGTCCTCTTTACATGCTCAATGAGCTCAGGCCTTCCTCAACTAAATAAAGTAATACTTAAAAGAAAAACTAACAGTAGAATTAAGTCTAATTGTTACCAAAACGTTATGGGTGTGTAAATCTTATAAAAATTGTTATTATGTAATTGTTTTCAGTAATAAAATTAAAGTCTTACCCTCTGATATGTGATTAATAGTTGTACGACGGGCAGCGCGTACACAACAGCCACAGTCAACGAACTCCAAAAGTATCTACAGAACAACATAATAGGACGTATTCCTACAACTGTCTGTCATCAAATTGCAGCACTAGCTCATGTAGTAAATAGTTTTTATAAACATCAAACGTTATTCACAGAGTAAAGTAATAGTCAACATAGTGGGTATATTTTTTTTACAACAATTTCATGTATATATCTCACAAATACTACAATTTCATGTATATATCTTTGCACATTGACAATATGTTCGAAAAAGTATGTTTACTACATGTGCTAGTGCTGCCATCTACGACAAACTTTGCGTAATATTCCAATGGTGTTACTAGCCGTTTGTTTTCCCATTCTCCCTTCAACCTCTAAGTATCACTAGCAACGCCATCGAGTACGCCTGTGCGGATCCATATTATTACTTTTGTTTCAACTGTTATGTTATTTTATTCCCTTTAAGGTAAGTATCACGGGTATCAAATTTGGGTCATATAGTAAAACATACAAAATTACGTAATTCTGTTGAAGGCATCCATATCATGATTTAAAAGGTAAACTTTATCGAAAATAAAATATATGCGCAAGTAAATCTGTGTAACTTCATAGTTATAAAATAACATTATGTACTACTCGTACGCTGTAAAACGACACGAGCCTGAAGGTCTATTTTTTTTCTTCTCTCTTTCTCAGCAAAAGAAAATTTCGTCTTTTTCCGCAAAGCAAATATGATTCCAAAAAAACGTAATTTTCGGTAATTTATGATACAACGCAGGTGGAACCTGATACTGCCTCTGATGCAACGTCATTCTTCATGGATATGATTTTAACAACATTATAATAACGATTGCAAATTTTCCGAGTTGTCGTTCGGGAACAAATAGAATAGGCCCCGAGCAGGTGTCACGTTAATAGGGATGATGATGTATTTTTTGTTTGTCCGTCTGGTAGATTATTGGAGAATATGAAACTCGTATTTTTACATTTTTTGGGTAGGTAATCAATAAGTTACGGTGACATTTTCTACAAAACTGTGACGTGACGAGATCCCACCCCTCTCAACTTTAATGCCTATTATCTAAGCCATTTTTTTGGCTAAATTGAAGCAAAAAAAAAAAAATAGAAACATGCATCTAATATTTTCCCATTATTTGGCTGACGGACTAAATAATAGAATTTCTTTTTTTTTAACCCAGTCCTCAGCAATCATCCTTTTCGTTCCAGTTATACCTGTCCGATCGTCTCGAGTGTGCGTTGGGCGTGGCTCGACTGAGACCGGCGACTGTCAAAGGTCGAGTCAGATCCCCCTCCCACTCGGGAATGGACTCCGATAGTGAATCTGTATACGGCACAATACAATACAACTTGCTTCTTTAGATCTACTTATCTAAGTATGATATTGAGCAATGTGAAAATTTATATGCTAATACATTTTTCAATAAAGCTAATATCAAGAAGCATAGTTTTTTGACCTTGATAATGTTCGACTTTATAGTCAAATTTTGATAAATGAGCGAGAACGATCATTAGTAACAATATCGACTGAATAATATAAAATTTTCACAAATGTTACTTAAATATATATCCTCATAGACTTTAAGGCACGATAACTGTTGTACAGAGATATACAACAAATGAAAAATCAGTATAAATGATGTAATTTTATTTTACAGGATATTTATCAACTATAGTCTTACATGCAGCCTTTATCAATAAATGGGCTATTCAATACAAATAAAAACATCAATTTGCACCACTAGTTCCTGAGATTAATGCGTTCAACCAAACAAACTATTTAGCTTTATAATATTACTAGCTTTACGCCAGCGGCTTCGCCCGCGTTGTCCTAGGGAACAGTTTATTTGGCTATCGCTTCATACCATGACACAAATATAATTATAATGACAAATTGAATCACAGTGGTTACTATGGTAACGTTTTAACTCCCTATACAAACTTCCACGCCCATTTTCATCCCTTTATTTGCTCTTTTTCGGGATAAAGTATAGCCAACATATCACCGCAGATGAATTCATCTACTAACTTAGCTACCAATAAGAATTTTTAAAATCGGTCCAGTTGTTTCGGAGCCTATTCGTAGCAAACAAACAAACAATCAAATCTTTCCTCTTTACAATGTTACGAGGGCGAAATGATAAATAGCTAGCCTAGCATAGAAAAACTTGAATTAGTGTGATAAAAGTATATTTATTTTTCGGCATAGTCTCCTTGAAGCGCTATGCTATCCATCTATGCTCTAAAGTCTTGATGCTTTGGAGTTAATTACTGTTATGTCCGTGACTATATAATTAATAAAACACGCGTCTTTACTCTCGAACATATATTTAGTGACAAAGAAACAAGATAGACAAAAGGAGCAACGTTTATGCCTGAAAAATAGTTCTACCTACTTATAAAATTGCTAATGATAAGTACCCGCTGATACTTATCTATTATACATCACACCTCCCAACTTAATCAATAACAATAGCTTATGTATATACACATATTGACATCAGTTATCTATGCCGTAACGCAGTACGGCCTTACGTTCTCGTTTGGGGCGATTCGCGGGTATACACGGTGAGTCGGGTACATTTGATTCACCTGGGGTAGTATTTGGTGAACGCTGTCGAGACACATACCGGTCTCCTGATGGAGTGTTACTTGCCTCCACGTCTATGCTCACCTCTGATCGCTCAACGCCCTCCTCACTCCCATTTTGACGTTCTATACTTTCATTTATTACATTAAGAGGACAAGGAACGTCGGACATTCTCGATCTACGCTTAATTTGGTCAATATGTCTATGTATCAGTCGTTCGCTACCGTTGTCTACTAAATAGCGGCGAGAGCCCTCGACGGCTACCACTGTGCCTTTCTGCCACTTGTCAGAACCAGTGAAAACTTTCGTCCAAACAGTTTCTCCGGGAGAGAACACGCGCGCCGCCCCCGCCCTTTCCGCGTACTGTTGCTGGTGAGCCTGCGCGCGCGCCACACTCTGCCCGCGTGCGTCCTCACTACGCAATAAATCGAGTCGCGAGCGCAGAGGCCGTCGCTGTAGCAACATAGCAGGCGTATCACCAGTACTGCTATGAATACTGTTCCTATAACTTAATAAAAACGTCTGTAAGGCGGCATCAACGTCTAATGATTCCCTAATGGCCTTTCTAATAGTACGCTTACAGAGTTTAACGGCGTTTTCTGCAGCACCGTTTGATGAGGGATGATAAGCAGGTGAAAAAGATTGTCGAATGCCATTATTCCTCAAAAAGGATTGAAATTCGCAACTCGTGAACGGTGGCCCCTGATCTGACACAACTTCTGTTGGCAGCCCGAAACGCGCAAATGTAGTTCGCAGGGCCTTAATGACAGATAATGCATTCGTTCTAGACATTTCAAAAACTTCGATCCATTTTGAACTGGTATCGACCAGTATTAAGTAAGTTTTGCCATTTAATGGACCTAAAAAATCTATATGAATCCTACTCCACGGTTGAATGTAATACGGCCATGGTTGGGGCGGCGCTCGTGGCGGTGCCTGTGCCTCCGCTGCGCATGTTTCGCACTGCCTGCAGACAGTTTCTAAATCCGCATCTATATTGGGCCACCACACATAACTACGAGCCAAAGACTTTGTCTTTACAATACCCATATGGCTTATATGTAATTGTTTTAACACAGCTCCCCTTAAACTTTTAGGTATAACTAATCTATAACCCCACATAAGGCATCCTCGATCTATATACAACTCATTTCGCTTGTTATAATAATGTTTTATTCCTTCATCATCGCATTTATTTCCCCAGCCCGATTGAACGTACAACAAAACTCGACTCAGTTCGGAATCTCTAGAAGTGGCAGCCCCGACATTCTGGTTTGTTATTGGTAAAAATTGCTCGACAAAATTAATATAAGTTACATCTTCGGATACGCTATGGCTTTGACTACTTAAAGGTAACCGCGACAGTGCATCGGCACAATTTTTATTCGACGTGACGTATTCTATGTCATAACTATATCCCGATAATAGGATGACCCACCTTTGTAATCGGGATGCCGCCATAACTGGTACGCCCACTTTGCTCCCAAATATATATGTCAAGGGTTTATGGTCGGTTCTAAGTGTGAATTTACGGTCATATAAATATTGGTGAAATTTTCTTATTCCATACACAATAGCCAAAGCCTCCCTATCTATCTGTGCATATGATCGTTCAGCGTCAGTAAGCGATCGTGAAGCGTATGCTATTGGTCGTTCTCCGTCCGGCGTTTGGTGTGAGATAACTGCCCCTACACCAACAATACTGGCATCCGCGGTCAAAATCAATGGCAGTTCCAATGAATAGTGAACCAACACTTCACTCGAACATAATCGCCGTTTAATTAAAGTGAACGCCGTTTCACACTCATTATTCCACACAAACTTGACATTCGTACGCAACAAATTGTACAAGGGTGCCATTATAGTACTTACATTTTTTATAAACTTTGAATAATACATTACCATACCTATAAAAGCGCGCAATTGCGTAACATTGATTGGGGCTGAGGTATTAGCAATAGCCCTAACTTTGTCCTCACAAGTCCTCACTCCATATTTATCAATTACATGACCTAAATATGTGATACTTTCCTCGAAAAATGAGCACTTTTCTCTTTTAACACGGAGACCGTGTGATTGTAATCTATCAAAGACTTTATGTAAATTGTTTATATGTTCTCGAGTTCCGGACCCTGAAATAATAATATCGTCCAAAAATACTCCTACGTAAGGAATATCTGCAAACATTTGTTCCAAATGTTTTTGAAAAATTCCAGGACTCGACGACAGACCGAAAACTAAACGATTATACATGAACAACCCCTTATGTGTATTTATTACAGTATATTTTTTTGATTCGTCTAATTCAAATTGAGCGTAAGCTTGAGACAAATCAATCTTACTAAATTTTTCGCCGCCGTGCAAACGTGCTAACAAATCTTCCACCTTAGGCAACGGGTAGCGATCGACTTCAATTACTTTATTTAATGTTAATTTGTAATCCGCACAAATCCTAATGTTACCGTCCTTCTTGACAACAGGCACGATGGGCGTGGCCCAGTCTGAGCGATTGACGGGAGTGAGAATGCCGTCGCGCACCATTTGCTCGAGTGCGCTCTCGACGCCCGCACGCAGCGCGTATGCTACGGGACGCGCACGCATAAATACGGGTCGAACCCCTTCGCGAACGTGTATGCTCACTTTACCGCCCGTAAATCGCCCCAATCCGTCCGCAAAGACTTTACAGTATCTGGAACTAAAATCATCTAAGTTAAAAGAATTACCAACAGTCGATACATTATTTATATTCTCAAATTTAGGCAGCTGTATTTTCAATTCTATTAACCACTGTCTACCTAGTAATGAGGTTTTAGCATCTTCTACCACATAAAGACTTAAATATTTATTAACACCATTGAAACTAACTAAGGGTTTTATAACTCCCACGGGTCGAATTAACTCCCCCGTGTAGTACCTCAATTTTAATTTAGATTCTTTAATATCTAAGTGTTTAAATAATTTATAATATAAATTCGTACTTATACAAGAAACTGCACTGCCAGTATCAATTTCCATATTAATATTTTTATTGTCTATAATAAGGGGTATAATTATCGGACTACACTGTGAAATGGATACTTGATTTACTGTTGTAATCATTACCTCATCGCTGTCTCCACTGTCTACGTCAACCTTCTGTGTCGGAATCGTCACATTGACATTATGATAATCTGTTAAATAAGGGCAGACTCGACGCAAGTGTCCTTGTTTATTGCACACTCTGCACACATAGCGTGAAAACTGACACCGAGATTCATCGTGGCTTTCACCACATGCGCGGCATTGTGTCCTGGTAAAAGCGAGGGTACCTCGCGCATGCCGCGCTGCCGCTTGCTGCCCGCGTCCCATATATCGCCCGCGCGGTGAAAATCGAGCCCTGCTGCTGCCACCGCCACTTCGCGCCGCTTTGCTCTCGCTACCACGCCATGTAGTTGCCACGGCCTGGCATGACACGACGTCGGCGCTCGATGTGGATGCTCGGCCCTCGACCGCCGCAGCATCCTTTTCTGCCGCTTCCATGTTAACTGCCAACGCGTACGCCTTCCCGAAATCTATCTTTCCTTCCGTAAACAGGCGCTGTCTTATCGTTTTGCTACTGATTCCACAGACTAGCTGATCACGTAAACTTTCTTCTAGCCAATTTCCGAATTCGCATGTCTTCGACATTTTTTTTAATACCGCCACATATTCTGATATAGTCTCATTACTATTCTGTTTCCGATGATGAAACTTGTACCTATCTGATAAAATACTAGGTTTTGGTTGTAAATATTGTTGTAAAATGTCTCCGGTATTTCATTCACTACAAAATATTGTTCCAGACGTTCCACGTACATATTCCAATTGTCCGAACGTACATCGAATTCACATATTCGGCCTATCGACATTATTTTAATCCTCGTCGCCACTGTTATGTCCGTGACTATATAATTAATAAAACACGCGTCTTTACTCTCGAACATATATTTAGTGACAAAGAAACAAGATAGACAAAAGGAGCAACGTTTATGCCTGAAAAATAGTTCTACCTACTTATAAAATTGCTAATGATAAGTACCCGCTGATACTTATCTATTATACATCACACCGAGGATCCTTTTTCTGTCCATTGTTTAGACTGAATTTTTGATTCAGGTATATAATGGTGAACCCAAGTCTCGTCAGTAGTAACAAATCAGTTGTATTGCTCTTAAAGCGGTCCAAACATCCTTGTGAAATTTGCATACGAACGCGTTTTTGGTCAACTGTAAGCAATCACGGTACCCACCATGCGGATATTTTTTTTTATACATCATTCTTGAGTCAAAATGTAATGCGCCCGTTCTTTAGAGATGCCTACAGTATCAGCTATCTCGGAAAGTTTCAATCTTCGGTCAGCTAAAACTGCATCATGAATTTTGATCATAATTTCTGGAGTAGTGGCACTTTTTGGACGTCCTGGACGATGTTCATCTTCGGTACTGGTACGGCCACGTTTAAATTCAATTTTTCCTAATTTTTTATGATCGCATATGAAAGAGCATTTTCTCCCAAAACATCCTTTATCTCCGAAAAAATATCTCCACCTTTTAATCCTTTTAAATGCAAAAACTTTATCATAGCTCGTAGCTCAACTTTATCCATTTGGCAGAAAAAACAAAAGAATGCTTTTTGAAATGTCAATATTTAAAAGAAAAACTATACGATCGATTTGAAAGTTGGAAAACTGGCAGCTAATGAACCAATGAGTAAAATACTAAGGAGATTTTAAATCGTTATTATACAAAATATGGGTTGGGCTAGCTATTTATCATCCCGCCTACGTAGTATAGAAGTATAGACCTAAATAAATAAATAAATAAATATATAGATAAACAAAAATCATGTCATAAATACTGCAATACATACCATCATCCAATTCGTTCCCTGTTCGTGGCGGTGGCCCACCCGCGGAGGTCTCGCCGCTTGATGTGGTGGGTACTTCTGTATCCACGACTATTTCCTGTGCTAAGGCAATTAAATACATAACGTTTTGTTTCACATTAATAAAAAGAGTTAAGAGTAATATTTTTTTTGTATCTTTAGTCTTTTAATTAATATAAGTATACCGAACGTTTCCTAGGTAAACCTAACCACCCTCGTAATTCTTGGAAATCATACTCTTTATACATAATTTTAGAGTTTAGTTTAGCGAGCAAATGTTGAAGGTAACACAGCGCTATAGACTTAATAATTAATTGCATACATATTATACTTTAACGGCGTGTAAGTGTCTGAATATATCTCTAGATACAATATATGCTGTATGGGGATGTATGACCACACACCAGAATTATATTGAGTGATAAAACTTTATAATATAAAAATAACCTTTATTGCGTAATGACTTGTTATTTAAATACTATTTGATGAGTCGCGAGTTGAATGTAGACTAACTCGAATGTAATAAAAATGATGACTTTATACAAATAAAATGTAGGTCGATAGACCGTACATATTCCCGGGCGAGAGATGAGGCGCGAAAGTGAAATTTTTAAATTATGAATGAGTGAATGTGATAACGATGATACAAAGGACTACCGACAATGTTTTACGGGATGATTAACAATATGTTTCCCGACAATGAAAATGGTGATCGACATTTGCTATTATGAATCACTCGTGAAAGTGATTTTTTCAAAACTTGGCGTAGTAACTTTGTCCTTTTTTGGTTCTACTAACTGAGTCAATGTATTGACTTTCACACACTTTGCACAAACACAATAATGACTTTTACACTTGATACACTGCACTTCACTTGTACTGTGATAACTTGTAACGCTAGCGCTTGGGCCAGCGTTTGCAGGCATGCCACGCAGCCGTGGCGCGGCGTCAGGCCGCGGCGTTGCAGCGGCATCAATCTGCAGCGGAGCGGCAGCCGGAACATTCCCGGAATTCCTTCTCTGTCGTTGGCGCAACCACACACCAGCTGCGCCAGCCATCACTAGTGCACCCAGCACGTAGATAGCCACGTAGTGGTGCACATCGTGAAAATTGATATCAGACTCGTCCAACTGATCTGTGTCTGATTTGAGTCGTTCTATTTGTTCGCTCATCTGTTCTAGTCTCGAGTCATGTGACTCGTTGAAAGCACCGATAATCGGAATGGATATGTTAAGTACTTTATTGACAGGTGCTATCGTAACCAACAAGACGTCGGGTTTTATATTTAATTCACTCGAATATTGCTGATGCGACGTTATTGTAAATGAGTCGCCCTTGACTACACAGTCACTTCCGAGTGCGATAATGTTCACGCCGGTGAAGGTCTCGTGTGAAATTTGAACCCCACATATGATTCTAATGGAGCATTGACCGCAACATGTAAATAAAAATGTATTTATCGTCGCTAATTCTGTCCAAGTTATTTGACATTGACTTGTGAATGTTTTGCATTTGCCCGATTGATGATCTATAACACAAAGATGGTCGTTTGTCAGTCTTTGATAGATGGGTTTCTGAATTTCGCATAAGTGTGACTGAATATCTATCTCGATGCATTTTTGTAATTCATAATCAGAAATAGTCAAATATGTATCCTTTTTTATATTCATAGCCAAATAATGAGAGATGGGCTGCACGTTGATCATGTATTCTCCGATTTGGTAAGAGACGGCGATGGTTTTATATAGATCGTAGTTGTCTCGATTTATTAGTGGAATTTGTACTTCGAATATAAAATATTGTTGTGTAGCACGTGATCGCACTTTAAGGACTTTATAAATCTTTGACAAATCTGTTTGAATGTTGTCAATGGGAATAGCTAGCTCTTTCGACAACTGCCCAGATATTATGCTTAGCTCGTCACGCAGTTGGTCTGGCGATAATACATGAATGTTGAAACTGTGGAGATTTGTGATTGTATCCAGTATGGTACTCTGAATGGTTTTCAAATTTCTAAATATGTTGCTGGCGATTATGCTGGAAAACATGATTTCATTGTTGATTTCAATCTGTGTAATTTCTTTTTTTAATTTGTTTGTTGCTAACTCCAACTTGTTTAAATGCTGATTAAAAGTTTTGTGTTGTTTTTCCATGACGTATTCAACTTTCTTTAATATATTATTTTGCGATTCAATAATCGATGTCTGATTTTTCCACAATTTTGCTAAGTGACGTTGATCCTTTTTTATAGTTAAAATGTCCTCTTGATACTTCTCCGCAAAGTGTTCGTCTAGAAGTCCAAACAAACTGTTCGCGACGTATCCAATTCCATTGATAAGTCCTCGGCGCTTGCGCTTATGTTTATCAATTTGCTGTGTAGGCAACATGTGATCGTAGTACTCCAATTCAGTGAACTCGTGACGTAATTGTAGCAATATGATTTCGCAATGTGATTTTATTTCCATTAAAGAACAAAGCGTTTCTAAATGATTAATGTAATTGCTGAATAATCTGATACCGTCCCAATACGGCTGCATATTATAGTATACTACAAGCTTCCAATTATCTTGAATTAATTTCATATCTGTTATTTTATCAAAATAAATGCTATTGTTGGTTGGAAGCGACGATATGTTATAAGCGCCCTGTACTGATGTTACTGATGATGTCATTAGTAGCATAAATAACATGAAAATTATATTCACAAAGTTTAAGCACGACGTTTTGCATGAACGATTGATTTGTTTGCTCTGAGTTTCCTTTGGATTACTTTGTTCCAAGTCCAAAGATGTTTCACTATTGACGGGTAAAATTGATAGTTTCACGATAGGGCGTTTAATTACACCGCTTCTAGTTTTGATGCTGACAACGCGGACTAGGCCGTCCTTTCCGGGATGAATGTCAATGATTCGGCCTAGGGTCCACTTGCCAGCCGGCAAGTTTGTCTCATGGATGACAACTATATCGTTGATCTGAATGTTATGTTTAGGTACAAGCCACTTACTTCTCACCGACAATTGGGAAAGGTACTCTGTATGCCATCTTTTCCAAATGTCACCGAATATTTTTTGAACTAATTGCCACCTCGTTCTTTGGTCACGTTCCGTTTCGATGATGGTGAGTACGGGACCACTAGATAAGAAATGAGCGGGCGTTAAGTAATCGATATCATTAGGGTCTTCACTTATTGCGCATAGAGGCCTTGAGTTCAAACAACCTTCTAACTGAGACAGCAAGGTCGTGAGTTCCTCGAATGTCAGTTTTTGATACCCGATTACACGGCGCATGTGGTGCTTTAAGCTCTTAACTGCGGCTTCCCACAGCCCGCCAGCACTCGGCCACGATGGAGCATTAAAGTGCCATTTAATTTGCATCTCACTGATCTCATTATAAAATACTTCTGAAAATGATGATTTTAAATTAAAATATTCTTTTTGCATAGTTGAGTCGGCTCCTACAAAATTCGTTCCATTGTCACTATACATGTGACCTGGGGTGCCTCTTCGTGCAACCATTCGTCTCAAGGCTGCTAGAAACGCTGACGATGACAGATCTGACACGAGTTCCAAATGTACAGCCTTTGTGACCATACATACGAATACCGCGACGTAACCTTTTGACGTTTTGATACCGCGTCCCTTACTAGCCTTGACTTCTACATATCCCGTAAAATCCACTCCTGTGTGATAGAACGGCCTTGTCGGAGTGGTTCTTGCTTGTGGAAGGTCACCCATCATTTGATATTGTTTAACGGGGTTCACCTTTTTGCAAGTGACACATCGATGTAACTGTTTCTTGACAGCTCTATTTCCACCTATAATCCAATATCTTTTTCGAATTTCTGATAGTGTAAGTCGGACTCCACCATGAAATGTCAATTTGTGAGCCTCATCAATGATTAGTTGAGTTAATCGACTATTGTGTGGTATTATCAATGGATGTTTCATATCTTTACTGAGATGACAATTGCCTAAGCGTCCCCTAACTCGTAAAAGTGTGTCGGGATCTAAATACGGATTGAGATTTAATAGATTACTATTTGATTTGCAAGAACCCTTTTTTTGAATGTGGTTAATGTCATCGAAAAATTCGTTATACTGGACATATTTAATAATTTTCAATTTCGCGTTGCGTAACTCGTCAGTGCTCAAGTATAATTCTTTTTCATTATTATATGGCGTCACTCGCAGTAACCATGCGAGTACTCGTGACGCTCGCGTAAAACTGCTGTGTTTGTCAATTAATTGTTGAATGATATCTGATCGTGAATTATTTATTTGTGTCACGTTTGATAGATTTTGTTTCTTAACTTCTAAATCGGTGTTGAATGTTTTCCTCTCGGTATCATTATTCTGTTGAAATGTTAATAGCCAGGAGGGGCCTTCCCACCAGAGAGAGTGCTGCATGAGTTGTGTTACGCTAAGACCACGACTAGCGCAATCAGCTGGATTTTCCTTAGTTTTTATATAACGCCAAGATTTCGATGACATGATTTGTTGAATCTTGGCGACTCTGTTGGCGACAAACGGTTTCCAGCGACTAGGCTCTCCTTGTAGCCATCCTAACACGGCGGTTGAGTCACACCAACCAAAAAGCTCAAGTTTATGATTGTCTAAGCTTTGAATAACTTTTAACATTAAGTTTGCTAATAAAAGTGACCCACACAATTCTAATCGTGGCAAAGTAATTTGATTTGTCTTTTTATTTAAGGGCACTACTTTGGTTTTGGCTGTTAAAATTGTAACTGTCATTTTGTCATTATTCTGGATACGCGCATAGATTACAGCCGAATAAGCTTTAGTGGACGCGTCACAGAATCCATGCAGCTCAATGACGTCATACTGCCCGCAACCAATCCAACGCGGTATTTTGATTTTATCAATGTTTTCGACATCTGATCTCAGTTTTAACCATTCTTGATATGTGCGATCTGATATTGGTTCATCCCATTGGAGATCAGCGGCCCATATGTCTTGGAAAATTAGTTTGAGTTGAATCACTACAGGCGCTAACCAACCAAGAGGATCAAATATTTTAGATATTTCGGATAAGAGTTCACGTTTTGTAGGTTTGAGGTCGGGACTTTTACTCATTTTGCATTGAAAAGTAAAAGCATCAAGTTTCGAATCCCAAGTCAAACCTAACGCCTTTGTTGATTGATCATACCGAAAATCGAATGTTTCTGAATCTGTATTGGTACGTTTACAAAGTTCGGGTTTGTTAGATAGCCATTTGCGTAAGTTGAATCCACCTGATTTCAGCAAATTTATTAAATCTGACTGTAATTGTTGTCCAGATTCTATGTTGAAGCTACCACCCAAATAGTCGTCCATATAAAATTGTTCTTGCAGGGCCTTTGCTGCTTCGGGATATCTATGATTTTCATCACTAGCCAACTGTCTGAGGGTCATCATCGCCAAGAATGGAGCTGCTTTTGTTCCATATGTGACTGTCGCTAGTTGATAATCACGTACTGTTTCATTTGTAGAATATCGCCATACAATTTGCTGATATCGCAGATCGTTTGCTTGAACGAGAATTTGCCGAAACATCTTCTCAATATCTGCAATAAATGCAACAGGATACTGTCTCCATTTTAAAACTAGTGATAACAAATCGCGTTGTAAATTGGGTCCTCGATACATAACATCGTTTAGACTTAGTCCTGTATTTGTCTTTTCTGATGCGTTAAAAACTACTCGAAGTGAAGTCGTTGCCGAGTCAGCGCGTTGAACACAATGGTGCGGTAAATAATACGTTAGTTCATTGACACTCGGTGTTGCTGTGTGCATATGACCTAAATCTTCGTATTCTGCAATAAATTGTTTGTATTGCGTTGCGATGTTTTCTTGCCTTTTAAATTTTCTTTCGATCTGATAAAATTGAGCCATTGCCTTGTGTTTGGATTGGCCTAACTTCTCATCGGCGTCTGGATGCAACGGAAGTCTCACTACATATTTTCCATCACGTCTGCGTTCTGTAGTTGTTTTGTACAATTGGATACAATGTTGATCTTCTGTGGACATGACATCATCATCCGTAATATCCTCAATCGACCAAAAACGAGAAAAATCATCTTCGTTCACCATAACTACGTTGCAATTAAATGATTTTTGTGTGTTCGTATTGCCACATAAAATCCATCCGAATCGCGTTTGTTGTGCGATCGGAAGCGATTCGTCTTGTTTTATTATTCCACTCATAATTATTGATGAATAAATATCGGCTCCCAGTAACAGATCGACGGGGCGACTTCTGTAAAATTCGGGATCAGCTAGTTGAATGTTTTGAACATGAGACCATGAAGGATTTGTAAATGATCTATTCGGAAGATTGTTTATCAAATGTTTCATAATATAGACGTCCGTGTTGAGTGAATAGTCGCTGTAAATGCATGTCAATGTAATATTAATAATTCCTTTACACGTGTTTTCCTTAGCTCCAACTCCGAATATAACACCTTTACATCGATTGCGTTTTAAGCCTAATAGTTGAGCGGCATTCTCTGTGATTAAGGATGTCTGCGATCCTTGGTCGATGAGAGCACGCAAAATTTCATAAGTACCATCCGCTTTTTGAACTTTAATTTGAGCGGTGGCTAGTAAAATTTCATTGGTATCTCCTTGCGAAACATTAATATTATTCGATTGCTGACTTGGTTGATTTAATTGTGTGCTTTTCGTAGGTACGAAATTCGCACTTTGATTGTTTATGAAGGCATCGTGTAGTAAAGTATTGTGATTGCCTTTGCATACGCGACATTTGCTGCCATTACATTCCTTATTGTCATGTTTCTTAAAGCAGTTTTTACATAGCATATTTTTTTCAATGGTTTTAAGTTTAGTTTGCGGATGCATATCGAAAAATGTTTTGCAATGAAAAATGCCATGTTCTAGTTTGCATACTGGGCATTGACCCGGGTGAACAGACAAAGACTTATTATAATTATAATGATTTTTACTAAATGAATCATTTTGATTACTACTAAATGATTTATAGAAAAATGGTTTTTTCTGGCTGATTTTGACTGTTTCTAGCAGTGGGGAGGACTTAGTAGCATCCGGTTTACGTTTAGACATTTCCAATGACGTAAATGTATTTTCTAAAAACTCCAAGAGGTCCTGTAGAGTGGGAAGCTCTCTCGGGTTTTTCAGTGAACTAATGTAGTCATTATAGGTATCCGCGTCTAGCTTATTGGATAGTATATAAACAACCAACGGGTCCCAGGTTTTGATATCTACACCTAAGGCTTTAATTGCATTTAAGCACTCGTTAGCTGTGTCATGAATTTTCTTGATGGATACTGCTGATTGATGCTGCATAACTGGGATACTCATCAAGATTCCGACATGAGAATTGAAAATCAACTTTTTATTATTGTACCGATGGTTCAATATATCCCAACTTATTTGATAGTTGTCGGAGCTAATATTAAGATGTTGGATGAGTTTCTCTGCTTCACCTTTGACCTTAGCTTTCAAAAATTGCATCTTTTGGGCGGATGATAATGACCTATTATTATGAATGGATTCTACAAATAAATCTTTAAAGGATACCCATTGATGGTAGTTCCCGTTAAATGAAGGAATATCCATTTGAGGAGTTGTCTTCTCTCTATGCGTCTGGGTCCACATGTTACTGTTGATGGTTTTTTTCATAGTATTATACTTGTCTTCGTAAAACGAAAAGGCACGCTCGTACTCGTCGTTCTCTTGGTATTGCTCGCTATCAATCTCCCAATGAAGGGCATCAATAATATTCCACCTACTCTGTATTGACTTAAGGGCATCTTCAAACTCCCATTTTTCGGAGAGGGTTTCTAAATCAACTGATTTGATGGTTCGGGCAAATGCTTTAAAGTTGCTTTTCTGCTTTCTTAACATTTCGTCTAACTTGCTGTTAGTTCCTTGACCTTGCTGTGACTGTCCAGCTACTGGAGGCCGTAAAACGATTTTCTCCTCCATGCCTTCTATAGGTAGATATTTCTGTATGAATGTTCTAGTTTCATTGTAAAAATCAGCGGCGCGCTGATAATAATTGTTGGTAAAATATTCATTGGTACGATCATCAAATTCACACAACTTAATATGATTTACCTGAAACTCTTGCCAATATGCTTCGAGATTGCTCAGACGTTTTTTGACATAAGTTGTGGTTTTACGATCAGCACCGTCTTTCTTAAAGTTTGTGAGTAGCGTTTCCATCGCTCCCACGATTTGAGTTTGCTTTGCTACGTAATCTTCCATATTGAGATTGATAGAAGAACAGATAAATTAATGAACTGACTCACCGAAGACTGGTCGACTTACGTGACAAACTTGACGTGGTAATCCAATTTGGAGTTAACACTTTACTTTCAATGCACACGCGAGTAAGGTCCTGCCTTCGGAGGCTCGAAGGACCAATTTGATGTATGGGGATGTATGACCACACACCAGAATTATATTGAGTGATAAAACTTTATAATATAAAAATAACCTTTATTGCGTAATGACTTGTTATTTAAATACTATTTGATGAGTCGCGAGTTGAATGTAGACTAACTCGAATGTAATAAAAATGATGACTTTATACAAATAAAATGTAGGTCGATAGACCGTACATATGCGAAGTATAAATTTCTTTTTATTTTCCATTAGTTACTGTTTTATGGTAATTATATTCTAATACGAACAACATTATTGTGGACCCCTTAATGTAGTAATCCGTAGTGATTAGCGCATTTGTTTTGTTATGTGGAGGTTATACAAATTTTGCAATGGCCGGTTATAGGATGGGTGACAAAAAATTTATTATCTTGAGCTTCTTTGTGCTTCGAAAGGCACGTTACCGTTGATCCTGGTTTTATGACTTATGACGTTGTATAACTGCATGTCATTAATACCAAACAGCACTGGGCCCTCGAAATGGGTTATGGCCCATTCTCCCTTTTTGATTCCATCCATAGGGAAGGCCCTAGCAGTGGCAACATTAATAGGCTTATAATGATGTTGATATTTAAATTTTTGTTTGAAAGACTTAGAGCTAAATATATAAGGTGTAATATTATTATATGCCAGGACTTGGTGGAGTGGATTAGTAAAGTAGACTGACCAACATTTACTATGGGAGCAACACTTAATTCAGGAAAAATTAATCAGCTGTTTTATAATGTCAACAATTGTAGGTATTAAAATTATGTATTTTTGTTCCGCGGAGTCCTGGCATATAATAATATCATACCTTATGTAACAACAAAAAGCCAATTTAAGCAAATAAAGTATCCGATATAGTTACCTGAGCATGTGCAAAGTGGTAGCAACGCAACAATGAGGCATAGCACCAGTGCGAGGGCCAAAGTCACCAGGGCGCCCACTAAATACTCGAAGTACGACATTGTTGCTATCACGCGAAACCTGAACGATAACGTAAAAATATCAGTGTTTCCACACATACGGATATGCAAGCTTGACCGTAGTTTTTTGATAATATAGGGTAAAAGCAACCTTAAGCCTTAAACCAGGGCTTTGACCCCGCACCTGCCCTGAAACGGACGGGGGGATTTCTCCAACCAGGGCAGAAACTTGATATTGCCTTTCCCCTCCCACGTATATATTTTTAACTTTATTATATTATTTTGAGTTTGGCCCTAGAACCGGAGTCCTGTGACGGACCACCTCCTTCACCCCCCCCCCCTACCCTTTAGTCCGACTCACGCACGAAGGGTTCCATACCATTGCCTATTTAAAAAATTACTTTTGTTGTTTGGGGAGCCCCCTTAAATATTTATTCTGTTTGTAGAAGTCTAGTATTTTTCACTATTATAATGTTCAAGTTTCAATAAACATTGTATACATTACTTTCTAACGGGTTTTTGCAAACTGCTTAAAAATATATTTGAAAATATACTCTATTACAAAGGTCTAAGTACCTGAATTCTTTAATTCTATCACCGTGGTCGCCGAACGAGTCGCCAGTGCACGCATCATCATTCTCCCGCACTATAAACACTATGTAGAATCCTTGTGGGAACATCGATTGCTGTCGACATACGGTCTTTTACATTACACACAAAAAATATTAATAACTGGCTGCGGGTTCACCCGCGTATATTATAAGTCATTTGCGAATAATGTAACTTCCCGTAAGTGAAAGAATTTTCTAGGTCGGATCAGTATTTTCGAAGATTACCCCTACAAACAAACAAAGTTATTTAATACTCTTTATTTAATATTAGTATAGACTAGCTGTTTTCCCGCGACTGAGCCCGTGTAAATTATTCCCTATGTGTGCGACCAATGTGAAAGATTTCCAATTCAAAACCTATGAAATAGTAAACTTTTACAAATTAGGTTGAAAGTAGAAAGCATGCAGCAAGACACAACTAACACAAGAATAAATTACAAAGCGCGGCAAAAATTACATTTCAACGATAAGTTTGGTCGTCATTGAAGTAATGTAATTATGGATAAAGGTAATTATAATTTGCATAAATGAATATTTATGACTAGTCATGTTAGTATGAAATGAAAATAAATAAAAAAAGTAGTGCATAGATTGTAAATATTATGTAATCCATATCAAAATTCCAATACGCTCAAGGGCATTGAATTACTCACTATTAAGCTAAAAAGACACATAGAAAATAAATTAATTAATGTCCATGAATCTTTTCAAAATCTTAAAGATATTTATATATATGAATAAATTATGCATGCAGCTGAAATATTGGGTTTCAGTTTCGACTACCGTTTGTCACAGTCTCTATAAAGATAACCGAAGGTTTCGATTCAATTTTTTTCTGAAGACTGATTAGTTAACATGTAAAGCTCGACTGGGCAGTTACCGCAATGTAATGCGCAGGTAAAGCTACTTTTGCTAGGGCCCGTCAAAAGATGGGTGAACAAAATATTTACTATCTCTAGCTCCGCCGTGCTTTAGATTGCTCTCTAAGCCGTTGGTCCCGGCTGCATCTGAAGACGTTAACACCCACCAATACCCACTGGGCTCGAGTGGCTGTTTATGTTCTATACATATTTATAGGAAAATTAATAGGCTTATAATTAATGATAACCAATGCTTAAGCCTACTAGAGCATCTACTAAAAATATGAGTTTACAAACAAACGTTTGACCAAATTTCAAGAAAATTAAATTAGATATGATTTCGAAAAATAATATTTTGTCACTCACCGTTAAAGTAATGCCTCCTTTAGTGGTCATAGTTAGGTGATACCCCTGGTACAGTACATCTCGCTCATTGTCGAAAACTGGACACTGTGTGTTATTACCAGTGGTCGGAATTAGGTAGAGTTATTCATGTACTTACACTGATTTCATACAGCAAAAGAATAAAGTGGATATGCCTCAAATCCCGAGATTAATTTTAAAGAGCAGAAAAAATCCCGTGATTTTTTAAATAAAAAGTTGTTTACTTTTACACAATTTAAACTACTGCACGCACGACTTTGCCAAACTTACATCAATGACATCGGATGTCCAAAGTTGCAAAATACCAATACGCGAGATGTTGCCACATTTGTAGTTCGCACAACATAGCTTGTGAGAACAAAAGAATACAATAGCGCAAATGCGAAGCACTCCTCACTTAACGTAATGTACTAGATTGTGTCTCTTTCTACCGCATTCAAACTATCTAAATCTCGGGAAGGTCCACATTAATATCAACATTTCGATGCAAGTACATAAATAACTCTACCTAATTCCGACCTCTGGTTATTACGTTTGTATAAATTTTAAAATGAACCTATTTAATTATTACTACTTATAAGTACATCTAAAAGTAATGCATTGTTTTTTTTTATTGGTGCATTGCTTAAGATTCTATAATACCTACTATTAGGGGGAAAAGAATCGACAACTATGGGCATCACTATTGAATTGAATTATACATATAGCACATACCAATAGGTATTTACGGTGGTGTAGTTGTGTGTGTGTGTAGGTGTAACTGAATCAGTGTTTCTGTAATTGTATAAGTATACGCGAATGTAATGCTTCGACAGTGCCGCAAACGGCACGAAATAAATTCCCCTCCCCTAGAGCATGCCAGCACCCAATGGCTTAATTGTTTAATTTTAAAATTTCTCACAATCTCTTTCAAAAGTATGGCGGTTGTGACATTGATTTATGGCATTGTGTAACTTTTAAAATCGCTTTAGGAACGAATGACGATAGAATGATATTGTTAAGGATAACGCAGTGAAGCGATGTTTCGGCAACGCGTTACTAGAAGGCGTGACGTGTCATTTGAATCGCGTTAGCACCGTCAAAACTACGTGTGTCATATACCTCGGAAGAAAGGGACGAATAGCTGTTTTAGAACTTAATGGCCTCGAATACACCGGACCTAGAATTTTCTAGATGTGGTATCAGCTCCTATAAATACGCAGTGGATAGATAGATAGATATACACTTTATTGCTCACACATAATTATTAATAATAGATTAACAATACAGGTACTAATGCTAGGGTGGGCAAAGGCGGTGGACTACTTATCCCAGCATTCTTTCAGTGACTGGCGAACTGAATACGAATGTCAAATGTCAAATTCAAAGTTATTGTGATAGATTTTAAAATTAGACAATTAGGTCACAGGTTCACATCCTCTCTCTCATACAATCACCTTTCAGAACCGGTTAGAGAAGAGGACGGGCAACAGAGACGCCGTTCTATTCTAAATACTCCGGCAAGACGGGTACGTACAAAGCACGCGCGTTCTACGCACGCGAACCGGTTTCGCACGAGGAATACGGGGTAGGGTAATCTATCAATCTACGGTGGGAGAAGACGCGCATAACGACGTGTACAAACCACGCGTGTCCTACGCACGCAAACCGGTTTCGCACGAGAAATTCGGGGTAGGGTAATCGACCAATCTACGGTGAGAGAAGACGCGCATAACTACATGTACAAACCACGCGTGTCCTACGCACGCGAACCGGTTTCGCACGAGAAATTCGGGGTAGGGAAATCGACCAATCTACGGTGGGAGAAGACGCGCATAACGACGTGTACAAACCACGCGAACCGGTTTCGCACGAGAAATTCGGGGTAGGGTAATCGACCACTCTACGGTGGGAAAAGACGCGTATAACGACGTCTTCTTCTCCCAAGCCTCCTACTTTTAGTTATTATTTTAATTTCCCTTCTTGAAGCAGGCTAAGGTCATTGGTTAAATTGCGTTTGTTTGTATTTATAATAATTTTCAGAATAAAAAAATGGAATTGTACATTTGGCTTCAGTATAAACCAAGCCCCCCACTTCGGAAAAAGCCCGCAAGGGTCACCTCCTTGGGAACCTTCTCCGCGCTCTCCTTCAGAGACATGACAATCTCACAGAAAGATACGACGGCCTACCAAAACCTCCGACTGATTAGCATAGTACGAACTATACCGGACAATCACCGATCTAATTTTAACTGAATTACCACGCGACGCTCAGCCGCCGGGTAAAAAGGTGTGCTCAATGAATTGGTTGATTGTTATGAAGCTATTTAATTGGATACCGACATTTGATTAACGGCTTAGGCCCTTAACTAAATTCCTGATTAAGATAGTTGGCTACGATATATATAACTCGATTGGATAATTTACTGTACTTATTACTATTTTAACTTGACACTTACAGAGTTGTTCTGTATAGAGACTGTAGCGCATATATCATCATCAGACTCTATGAGCAGTATCACACTCTTTGGGATTGTGTAGTTAAACCTGTAAACAAGCAAACGTTTGTAACTCTATGGTTCAATCCAGTTCAATGAAAATCTACCTGATTTGCAGTCACTAAAGTAGCTTGATGGGGCACACTCGCGCAGGGATCGATCGTAGAATGGGTGATCAAAAATTTATTGTTTTGGTCTTTCGTGGTCATTACCAGAAGAATTAAAGTTACTAAGGTCCATTATAAGATGACTCTGATTTACAATCGACTAAACGATTAAGATTTTATATCATAATTTATTGATATTTAATTTAAAATTAGATGTGGAGGAAGATATTAAAGAAAAGTTTACTTTATTTGAACATTATAATTTAATTTAAAGAAGGTATTAGTACAGCGCCAGAAGCTATACAAATCTATCAAATTTCTCCACTTGATTTTAAATCTTAACCTTTTGAGGATAAAGATTAAAATCAACTACAGAAATTTGACTTATTGTGGTAACCTGACGTGTAGTCGTGTGTACAATTTCTCAGCACTAAATAATAATTTGTTTTACCTCGGCAAGTATCGCCATCCCTTTCCCACAGTGACATTTCCTGGGGTGCTATCGAATGAGAAGTAGTAATACTTGGGCGTACTGGGTTTCACTGTCAGGTTCAATTCCTAAAAAAAGAACAAAAAAATCATCTCATTATTATAAATATAAATCAATACTATAATGTATAGAATACTTTATGATATAGCGGCAACGCTTCCCTAATATACAGTATGTATCTTTTACCTAAACTAGTTTAATGTTGTATTGAAAACAAATTGTTTTTTCAAATGTCTACCAAAATAACTTAAAGAACAAAAAAACAATGCATATTTTATCATGTTTCATAGTAATATTGACTATCTACTTAAGACCTCTACACAATCGGTTCCTTTAACAAGGTTCCTAAAAACAGATCTTTGTATGTCTTATAGTTTTAGATTATTCCATACTGATCGTTCTTACATTATTATAATATAAACCCTGTATAGTTACACCCTGTATACTTTACACTTTACTTTACTTTTTAGTAGTGAAATGCCTGGAAACATTTAATCTATTCTTGGTATGTTAGGTAGCAAAAACTAAATAAAAGTATGAACGATAAAAATAGTGGTAATAGAAAATAAATTTAATCAGAGATTAACCATATTGACTTCGTTTGGTATGCGTTTGTATATTAATTTAATAATGAGTGTGGTAATAAGTCTGTTTTTATATTTTTAATATTATAACAGAAAATTAGTTTTTTTTTTAATTTTGAACCATTAACAACAATACTTTTTAAATCATCGGAATCCATTCAAGATAATTTCCAATAGCATTTATTGTACTGATATTATTTTTTTATTTTGTATATTTATTTACATTATATTGTTTGTCAATATTACTAGTTTCATTTAAGCGATGTTGCCGATCTTATTTGTTTACTTGATACGAAATCGAGTAACGTAACGTAAAAAAAAACCTACTATTATTATTAATAAACAAACATATTTATATGCAAATAAATATTTAAGTTCGACTAGTACCGATTCAATGTTAGTTCATTAGTAATTTAAATATTTCTTATTAAATCAACCAACTTATTAAGAATTAATATCTAGAGGAAAAAGTTAATGTCACATTTAATCGATACAATTAAATTTATCCAAAATAATATAAAGAAATCATTACTCTAGTATCCTTTCAATTAATCGACTTCTTGATTTTCAATATCGATAGTAAATAACTTTATGTCAATCACTAGTGTGATATGTCGTATTAAACGTTTATTGCGCACTATAGATGTCTGTTATGGTTGAGCGTGATTGGTTATAGCTATATTGGAGCGTTCTGATTGGCATGTTTAAAATGCAAGTGTGTGCATATTTTTTGTATAATTGGTCTGATATTTCGTCTGATATACGGCGGACTAAAAGTGGGGCAAGACTGGCGACATCGGTTTTCGTACAAAGGATGCATGATCGCCTTTCTAACCCCTTTTCCGTGTTCTGTGGACCATTCAAATATTTAATTTTATTTATTTGGTGTTTGACCAACACTTTTTTATTTATTACTAATTATGCTTTAAATAAAAATAAATCTTTCAGTATTTCTCATTTCTTTACTCATTAATAGAATGGCTCATTTACGCTGGTCGATGGGGTCGGCACTTGAAATGCATGCGACCTCTGAGCGCTCATCTCATTAGCATTAAATAGTCAATAAAACAATGACCAAGCAATGAACGAGAGGAACAAAAATTTCACGAACGTCGCACACGTATGCCATCGACCAATGTAACTGAACCATAAAGACTGTGGAACAGCAATTCATACAAGTAACACGTTACCTTGTTTACTTCCACGAAGAAGTCGTGTACCCTTCTGAGCTTGATGGTAGCCGTTACATTGTTAGAACTCGAGGTCGTCAATAGTAGCGACGGTCTGTTCACCGACGTCACATCTAAACATTAAAATAAGGTACAGTAAAATATGGCGTGTCGTGAATATTCGTGTGCGCAACACTTACATTTCCGATGATAACCAATAAAATTATAATCAATCTTATTTTAATAACCCTAAGGTGTAAAATACAACACAATATGTTTCCATTTCAGTGGCATTTAAAGCTGCATTATGCCCGTTAATCAATAGACAGGGGATAAGATTTTATTTTTAATGAATTCCTCCCAAAGTATTACGATTATTGTAAAATTACTACACAAAGCAATGGGCTAAAAATGACTGCAATATTTATAAATTTTCTCTATATACAATAAAAACATTATGTTTTACTTTTGTCGTGTTTTGCTGGAATTGCTGCGAAGTTTGATAACAAAATTAAACTCTATTGTGTCAGGCCACACTCAAAAAACAAGATCATAAATAACAAAATTAAAAAAATATATGGGTAGGTAAATACTCACTAGGTCCTGCGTCGTGTGGACACAGGGTCCTAGAGACGTCATCAAACTGTAGCATATTGGTTTTGGTGGTTACCACCAATGGCAGCTCCCAAGATGATATCCCTGATATAAGAAAATCATTTACAGCAGTGGTTCAAAACCTTTTGTCTGGTGACCAAATAATATAAATTGACCAAAAAATATTGAAGCTGTGACTCATTTATGTAGCAGTGTCATGACAATAGGATTAATTAAAAACTTTATTTACATAAGCTGTATATTCTGTAAATCAGCATATTAATTAATGATAGATAATATTGATGAAAATCAGTTTATTTGTTGTTTTAAATGATTTTTTTATTTGCACTTTCTTTGAATCAGTGATGATGTGCAATAGTTTTTATCTATTCTTATTATAATGATATTCGGATATTTGAATTAATATCATTGTTATTTTCACCTTTTTGCTGGATTGCAGTGATGAAAAGTGGATAGTCAGAACTAACACTACTGGTATTGGTTGATACATGTATCCTGGTAGGATATCCATGCCAAATATTGGTATCCTGTTAGACACAAAGCAATCTTATGTCAGACCTTATTGAGTGATGTTGATAGGGTAGTTTCATTAGTAAAAATAAGTAATGTAATTGCACAAAAACTAAAATTTAAATTATAATAAACATAAAGATTATTATTTTGAGTAATAAAAAGAATGATTATCTATATTATCTTAAAATCAAAAGTCTACACTTATCGTATATAAGTCACGTGATTTGAAACACGACTGGCCATTGTGTGACGTCACTCTGGCGACAGCAGTCAGATTAGTCGTAAATAATGCTTATTTGTGGTACTGTTCTTAACTTATTTATGTCATTTTATTTTGTAATTTATACTGTTCTTGATTTATCAACATCTTTTAATCTACTCCTCTGTGCATCTTTTTGTATCATATCTGAATGACGTCATGAATATGTTGTACAGCATACTCGCAGATATAAAAAAAAGTTTAAATTTTGATTTCATTTTAAAACAAGAAAATGTGTTTATTTTTCGGAAATATGTTTATGACTTATGTAAATTAAAATAAACACAAGTACTACCTATTTCAAACAAAGTAGAATTAAAATGGTATTGTCATGTCATACCTAATATCTATACAGTATACACTAGCTCATTAAACATGGCATGAATACTAATAAATTAGGCATTTTAAAGTTTGCACATATTTAGAAAAACCCACCGTGCATGACTAGAAGCATGCACTTCAATGTGTATGAAAGTATGAATCAAGAAAGTTTACTAAACATGTTTTAAGCATTACCCAAGCATGTACTTGGGTAATGCATAAAACATCTATGGTGAACTAGCTACCGTTAAGTTTTTGTATTCATCCAACTTATTAATTAAGATATCCTGAATGGGTAAATCCTGGGTGATAGGTAAAAAATGGTTAACAATTCAAAATCCTTACAATTAGTTTATTTAAATAAAATTTATTTTGAATTTGTACCCATTTCCAGAGTTTTATTATCTCTACACAACTATCTATGGGTGAAGCATGTAGCTATAAATATACTTAAAGCTGTATGATTCACCCATGGTGCATCATCTATGTATGTGTACTTCATGATTGCTTATTTTATTTTGTATTCACAAGAATTGCAACATGTACAGTCATGTACAGATTAGTAATTGTTGGGGATTAAATAAATAGTACAATTAATTACCTCATAAAAATCAAGGAATTGCTCAGTTGTCTTATTAACAGTTACATTGATTATTTCGTCGTATTTATACCTGAAATTATAATTTATAATTGATAAATATAATATTTCTAATGTTGTGATTTAAAGGGTATGACCTGTTCATAGCATTTAATAAAAAAAAAAACTATTTATTGTGTGAATTTGTTCTTAAGTAACTATTTTATATTATTTTTAATTATTTTATAATATTATTACAATGAGTCTTCTTATATAACTGATTTTATCAATTAAATTTAATATGTCATGTGAGCATATTTCAAAAGCTAATTCTAAGTAAAAGCCCATTTTGGTGAAAATCACTTTTTCAATGTTATCTACATTTTGCCGACTTCAATAGAGAGGAACTACCTACTAAAATAAATAAGTAAACAAAACAATACTTACTTATTATACAAGAAAGTTTTATTATCTCCGTTCATAATATTATTTATAGCTTTTGTATGAATCACATTTTGTAAAAGAACAAACAGTGATATTATCAAAAAATTTAACATTTCCCTGCACATCATATTCAGTTTTGTAAAATACGCAATTTTCCAACAAAAAATTCGAAATAGAGAATGACCAAGGAGCAAAAGTTTGTAGCAAAGAGTAAAGTTTATATCTATCATGGACTAAGTACAAATAACAGGACCATAAACCGAAAAAAATATAATTATAAAAATAAACCTTATACATCAGTATTTAAAGTATACTTTACCTTTTCTATAGAAGCTAATACAGGCTAAAAGAAATATTTATAACGGAGGCCTTGTATCTCGTTCTTCCATCTTGCCATTATTAAAAAATATCATAAAAATTGATCAAATATAATAAATATCGTTGATAAAAGTTTTTTTACTAAAATAATCCTATTGGAAACACTAGTAATATAATGGTTATTTTAAAAAGAAGCACATTAATTTCAAGGTCATCTGTGGTTTAGAAAGATGTTTGGACTAAAAACTAATAGAACTAATTGGTATATTTGTTTTTGTTAGTGTAACAATATGCGTTTTCGATGTGATAACAAGGTATTTGACACTTTTCTGAAAACTATTTTAAATGGTTGTTTGATACATTATAAAGAATCAATTCATATAAACATAAAAATCGTACCTAATTGTGCAGTAGACAGTCTTATCACTTTTCAGCGATTTCCTTCAGGCAATTTAAATTGTGAGTATAACAACAAATTTTGGAACTATTAATTTTAAATAATTTTTAATTTAAACTCGTGAAATTTTGAATGCAGCGGGACGTTCATTGTCCTTGAACGCGTCAATAGTAAATAGATTGAAAATGGCGTCGTTTTGCCGATCAAATGAATCGAAGAATTTACATTTCAATTAATTTCTTCTAACATTTTCAAACTATCATTTATATAGACCTTTGTTTCTTCTCTGTAATATATAGTTAAGTGATTTTTCTGTGTGTTGTGTGGTTGCAGTTAATAAACTTTGTTTTATTGGCGATATGGTGCCGTGTCTTTTCGTGGTCTGATAATATCGGTTGTGTTTACATGACTTCGGCGCGGAGTTGTCGCTTAGAATGCTATCAACTGTTGAGGAGAGCCGCGGGTACGATTTTCAGGACCCGGAAAACGCCGAAAAATGGAGAGGTCTCTTTGTCAACTCGCTCAAAAAGGTTTGTGTACAAAACTTTTCAGTTGTTGTCCTATTTTCTTCGTATCCCACTTTCATTTATCATTCGTTGTGGAAAATTCTAATACGTTTAAACTACTCCTGCTTATTATATTTCACTGAACGTTCTTAGACAATAAGTTTTGAATGGTTATTTATCTCAAGATTCATTAAAGGAGTGTGCAATTATTATCAAGGTCCTTGATAAGCTATCAGTCAATATCTTATATGAGCAAGTAAATTTTAAAATCAATGCATTATTTTCTAACTGATAACTTTTAATCAAACTTTGTGTATAAAGCTTGTTCTTTATCATCTTATAAATTTACCTGTTTGTAATTTTAAGTAATGTTTTGTTTGATTAAAATTTTTAATAACAAACATTCAATAGCAGACGGACAGACAACATTGTAGAATGCAGTCTGTTATTTAATGTTATGTTTTTTTATCCAATACAAGGTTGCCTGAAAGAAATAATTGCTGGCTAGCGATAAGGCTGCCTTTTGTATGTATGTATTTGAATTAATATAGGATATAATGCATATACTTCAATGATATACAGCTAATTAATTTCATATTGTAACTTAAACAACTAGTGTAATCCACATTCACATTATCATTTACATTATCTTTTTGCCCTATCACATAATAATAAAATTAAATAATTAAAAGCAATCAATGTACAAAACAACAAACAAACTTTAATGGTTGTGTAATTAAAACATATTGCTAACTGTTGTCCTTGTGCTTAAAACATAGTTTAATGGAAAAATTGCAGAAAAATACAACTCTATGCTACACTTTCTAAATTTCATTTTAATATTCAAATCAATTAATTAATCTTGTTCTGATGTCATATGTAATCTAAGAAAATAATTTTACTCCAATATACTATACTACAGCAATTTTCCCTCTGTTATATTAGTTGTGGACAGAATTCAAATAACCTTGGTAGGATAGGGGTGGAGACAACTATTTTTATATATATTTTTCCATAGATATACATGAAATATCTAAAAATATTTTAAAAAATATCAGTCATATAATCGCCAATTCTGTCATGTTGTTGCTATGACGTCACGGCACTCTGAAACGAATATTGTTTTGTGTATGTCACCCACTGTTAGCGGTCACGTGACAATAAGTATAAAATATTTGATTTTCCTTAATAATTAGTTTAAGTAATATTATAAATATAATAAGCATAAAAATGTGATTATATATACTATTATCGGTAATAGTATATTAAACACTAACAGAAAAAAAAATTTTTTTTTTAATACTGCTACTTCATACTTTTTAAGGGAAACTAATATTAATAAAGGAAAACTGATATTAGTTTTCCTTAAAAAGTATGAAGTAGCAGTATTAAAAAAAAATTTTTTTGGCCTTCTAGTAGTTACAAGGTTTTCCCTACCACTCAATCAATATGTCTTTGATAAGAAGAACTAGCAAGAAACTCACCAGCTCTAATAGGATTATGACATTTACAAAAACCATGTCATTACCAGATCAATACATTATAAATAAAGAGAGAGAAAAAAAAACTATGGTCTTATAATGATAACTTAATGATTTAATAATAATAGAAGCAAGCAAAAATGACAATATAGTTATAAAAAATGTTCCCATTAGGTACTCCATAAAACTCACTTAGTTACTTTTTTAGGAGTTGGAGTCGGTGCATCCAACGCTAAACGCAGAAGAGAGTGCATTGCAGTATGTGGAGTCGCTCTGTCTGCGGCTGCTGGCAATGCTCTGCGCTGTCCCTTCCCCACTTACTGTACAGGTGATGGTTTAGTATTAATTTGCCTATAATGTCATCTGTGTCAATTATGAATAGATCTCTTTTTACAGTCAATATAGCTTTTTATTCATATAGCCTGATAGTACATCAGGCTATATGAATCTGTCAAAGTTCAAAATCAATTGAAGAAATTAGACATATTGTGGTACCCTGGCGTGTGTTTTTTTCACCAGCCCTTTTACGTCCCCACTGCAGGGGCTCAGGCCTTCCTTATGGATGGTTAAGGAGGATGGGCCATGACCCTCCACGCTGGCCCAATGCGGATTGGAGGGTATTAACGACTGCAAATGCAGCCGGGACCAACGGCTTAACGTGACTTCCGAAGCACGGAGTAGCTCGAGATAATAATTTTTGGTCACCCATCCCGTGACCGACCCTTGCGAAAGTTGCTTAACGACTACGATCGCGGGCCGCGGCGCTTATCCACTACGCCACCGAGCTACCCTGACTCTGGCGTGTGTAACATTTGGTAATCAATTTTATTGTTTGATTGATAGGACGTGGAAGAACGCGTGGCTCGTTCGTTTCCGACGCCACTGGACAAATGGGCTCTTGCAGACGCGAAGGAAAACACGTCACAACGCCGCAAGCGTGCCCTCTTGCCCGTCGATAAAATACATCATATGCTACAGAAGGTATTTACCAATATTACACAAAACAACTATTGGCTCTTTCTAGCTTTGAAACGTTAGTTTAACAAAAAAAATGGAAGTACGCAGAAGGCAGGAGAGAACAACAATAGTTATTACCTACATTTTAAAGCACAGTGTCCTCCCTTCTCTTTAAATTTGCTGTGTTGGGGTCCATAATGATACTATTGTTTTTATGAACATCTTAATACTACATTTTGGTATGCAATAAATAAATAAATAAAACAATGTGCTCATTTTACCATCGAATTAAATGCATGCGTGTTTGTTGGCAGTTATGACAGAAGCATAAAGCTACCAAACAAGTATGCTTTTCATTAAGTTCAGTTAAGAAAAAATAAATAGCATCAGACATATTTTAAGACTGTTTTGGGATCCAGTTCTCTCTTGCGGGTAGACGCAAGGTGACATATGTAGAAGAAATAACATTTCTTTTCAGACCTTTTTATTATTATGGTGATCTCAAATACTGTTGTGTTTACTTTAGACGTCGTGCTAGTGTTAATAAATAATATCACAAAGCAGAAATAACTGCAGTACAGAAACCATTATGCACTAGACTAGCATCATTTATGGGCATAACCTAACCTAACTAGCTAGTGATAACTCTATACAGTGCGTAGCTGTTCATTAATAAAGTCAATATTATTAATGAACCGCATTGTACCGCATTTAAAAGTATATATATATTCGACTTAACTACCGATACTTTGAGGGTTTAAATCAGCTGTGTTCAATGAAGATGTGTGAAACATATTCTTTTCTCTCTACCAAGGAGGTACTTCTGTACAAAGTGGACATATCGGTGTCGGTGTTTATGACCGCCATCTTAGAATTCGTGAGTGCTGACATATTGAAGTTAGCGGGTAATTTCGTGAAGAAAATCTCCCGATCTGGCTACGAGACGATTACTTGTAGCGATATCAAGACTGCTATGTGTGCCGATAAGGTGAGTCATCGTCGTTAGTCTATTAATGTCTTCACTACTGAGCACAGACTCCCTTATATATGATAAAGGAAGAACTGCCCATAACCCCCCACACAATCCCAATGGGTATTGGCGAGTACTAACGACTGTAGATGCAGCTGGGCCTCTAAATCCATCGGCTCAACCTGCCTTCCGAAGGACGGCAAATTATTATTTTAGAGGAGGGATAAAATTATTTAAATTGTGGTAAGCCATGAAACAAGAAATGAATATCAAAGAAACTCTTTATGCTTACCTCTCAAGGGATCTGGAATATATAGTGGAGGACCAGTAAAGTATTCAGTATTTATTTTAATATTTCTATTTTGTATTTACAACTGTAAATTTTCATAACTAAATTATGTATCACTATTTCAAATAGTACATTTGAAAGCGAAATCATAAATCTTTATTACTAATTAGGTCCCCTTTTATACTTTGAAACCAGATTTTTTTAATTACATTTTAAACCTAAGTTGTATTAAAAATCATACTCAATTCTGGAGGTATGTCCATGTTTATGTATACGTTTCAGTTGAGTGACTCCCGATTCCATCTACCTACTCCGCCATTGTTTTTTTATTTGTAGGTGTTGATGGACATGTTCTATCAAGAGTCTGAGGCGGCATGGGCGCCTGAGCCCCGCGCTCGTACACACTCGCTGACGTACGGCGATCTAGTGCGAGACTTGCTCGCAGACGAGAAACATTTCCTTAGAGATTTACACCTCATTATAAGGGTGTTTAAGGATGAGATAGATAAAATACTAGACCACGACACTCGGGTAAGTGACAACACTGTTTCGGGTTTTTTAAGTATTGTGGTAGTCTGTTAAATGGTTTGTTTGTGTGTATTAAATGCCTTGTTTGTGTCATAAATAATGGTGGAAATTCTATGGTACCACTTAGAGAGTGAGACAATAACTAAACTAGATAAAGGTCTAACTTAAATTTGGATTTCTTTTAACATTGTTCTAATCACATGTAATCAAAGAAATATAGTTATACTTCAGCATACTGTTATATAATAAGTTTACTTCTGAAATTTGAACATCATCATCATCATTTATTTATTTAAAACTTTATTGCAAGAACAGCAAAAGGTGGACTTAATGCCAAGGGTATTCTCTACCAGTCTACCAGACAGGACGTAGGAGCGAAAAAAAAAGTACGGCGATTAAAGAATGGGGCTCAGGCCTTCCTTATGGATGGTTAAGGAGGATGGGCCATGACCCTCCACGCTGGCCCAATGCGGATTGGAGGGTATTAACGTTTGCAAATGCAGCCGGGACCAACGGCTTAACGCTTAATTTTTTGGTAATCTTTACGTTAACGACTACGATCGCGGGCCGCGGCGCTTATCAACTACGCCACCGAGCTACTCTTGAACAACATAATTGCTACTATACGAAAATAAAATCAAGATTTGTTACCCTTTATAAAATAACGTTTTTCTAAAGAGTTTTAAGTGCTGCAGTTAGAAGCGACTGCAGAATCCAAGTCCTTGCTTCCAATTTTACATTATCATAATAATATACATAGATACTTAATAAGTTTTGCTATTTTACAATGATGTTGTCATTATAGTGAAGTGTGCATTCGTATCTGGTTCACAGTCGATATCTCTCATATTCGGGAACATAGTTGACATATACGAGCTCACGGTGACTCTTTTGGGGAATCTGGAAGACGCTATAGAGATGTCGCAGGATTCACCCACACCGTACATCGGCAGCTGCTTCGAGGGTGAGTCACCAATATTTTTACCGTAAACAACTATTAGTTCTTGATTTTATTATTAATATCTGGACATAATATATATTTTTAAACAGAAGTAAGCTTTGAAAATTGTACATTTATAATTTCATTCAAAATATTGCACCAATAAGTCATTTATGTGACCCCATGACGTAATACAACTTCTAAAACTAGATGGGGTGACTGAAAGTCAAGTTTCGGGGCGGATATGTAGTCTAAAAAATAGTATGTGCTTTTAAAAAATCTTCAGTTGGTCAAAGACAGTGCTGTTTTTTATTTTTTATCTTCTGTAACTGTGGTTTCAGAATGCTTGCGGTGGTACGTGTATTACTATTGAACAGACAAGCACAATGACAGAAACAATAAGTCATGATGAAAAATTACCAAAAGAACTCACATAGTTTAACTGTCTAATATAGCTATTTGTGAACAAGTGGTGTTAGAATAGGCACAATAGTGATTTTAGGTCATTGAGGATTCTCAGGCCCGGTGACAGGAGACAGAAAGTCATGGTGATAAAAGTCACCAATGCCTGCATACCTTAGACTATGATTAGTGTTTATATTCGCATCACATCGCTTTTTTAATTATTTAATTTATTACAATACCAAAGAATTACATAATATTTATTGTTGTGGTTGCAAAAGTCCAAACAAAAGGTGTTTTGATCTAATCGGCTGAGTAAGGTTTTTATAATTCCGTGTTTTGTCTTAGAATTAGCGGAGGTGGAGGAATTCCGTGCGTACGTGCGGTACGCGAACATAGTGACACGGAAAGAGTCGAGGGACGCTTTACAGAATATCGTCGATGATCCTGTGGTAAGTGATATTTTTCACGATATGAATAATAGCGATAAACCTATTGAAGTAAGAAACCCTCTGTTCTTTCAACCGGGGCAGAAACAAAGAAGAACAAGAAACATTTATTGATGTAAAATTAAAGAATAACAATTATCACAACGAAACCAAAGTGCCATCTGGTACTAAGAAATGAACCTAGATGTATAAATGGCTGTGGTATAAACTAGAGGTGCCACAAATGGATATTTGGCCGAATACAGTTGCTACCACATATACTGTGGGTGTTGTGATTCCTTTACTGTTTTGAATTTCCAAAATACAGGTGCAAAAAAATTACAGGAATAAAACCTTTAATTTTTTTTTTATAAGCGCCTCGCCCTATGAAAATATTTAACGGTCCGTCTATTGTAATTTTCAACTCCATAGTGCATAGTATCATAGAGTTTGGAATCCTAGCTATCATGTCCACTCGGAAAGACGAAGGGTGCAGGAACGATTTTTATACTATCTGATGTACTCTGATGGTATCTGCAAGCGACTAACCTCTTACCAAGCACAAGCTAAGCACTACGATCTTTCTGTTCTGATGTAGTTTTCCTGTTCAACTTGATCTATGGTCATATCGAGTCTCCAGAAATACTTGAGCATGTTAAAATTACTCTTCCACGAATTGACAATAGCTCCCTTTGTGTAGGTCATACTTCACCATTGTATCGAATGTGCCATTTATACAACTCCATCAGATCAATTTTGACATCTTTATTAGTTCTGTGGCCTCAGCAAAAAAGGTCTTTAAGGATATCTTTTTATAAAAAAATTACTTTATTCAGACTTCAAAATCAAAAACTTAAATTTTTTACATGAAATGTCTCTAGAATAGTAAATAACCCTTTCCTGTAAGAATATTTACTTAGAATATATACTTTTCATGTATTAACATACTTATGCATTATTATATTTGATTAATTTTGCATTCACAATCCACTTTGTCCCATCTCAGAGCGCCAAGAACAAAGTGGATTTTTAATCATTTTTCATTAAGAATATATTTATGCATGTTGTACTTACATTGAGTAGCTCTAAATGTAGTCTTAAAGATGCAAACGTTTTTTCGTTTAAACCAGTGTTGTAAGCCTTATAAAAAGCTTCTTAATTTAGGATCCGAGTAATATACTACGGCATAACGTCGTTTGCTTTACTCTTGAAGTATTAAGGTTTAAAATCAATCATTGACTGTTTTATGTAACTTGACTGTTGTTGACTGTTTATATGTGATTAGTCTCATTATGAAATGAGCGCTAACTGTGGTATCAGATTTAAACCATTATGCGACTGAAATAAGTGGACACATAACTAATAAGTCAATTAGCTTTAGGCGACAATGTTTTAAACCTAGTACTAACTTTAATCTACGTTTTATAACACGGATTGAGTTTGTTGTTTTTGTTTTGGTTTAGTTATCAGAACGGCTGGACACCGCTGGTCACGGATTCCGTCTTGCTGTCAAATATTATTTGCCGCGGTTACTTCTAGCACCAGTGGCTCACGTGTTCCTTTATCACACATATGTACTGGCTCTGCTTCAGATCGCACCCGCATCAGATGACAGAGAGAGTTTCAAGCAGGTTATTATACTAAATTTTATTTTATTCCAACAGATATGTGTGGGAGGGGCATTTGATTTACATTTTTATGTATTTCAGGTGGAATGCAACTTACATCCAATAAAAGAATTATTAATAAAACGCTTAGGAAATGGACCAAAGATGTGAGTAAAGAATTAAATATGTATATTTTGTTTTTATGTTATGTTTTGTTTTTGTATATAATTGGTAAAAAAAACAACTTTAATAAATTGTTCATGGTTTTATTGCCATAACCGATTTTATATATTAAAACTATAAAATATAAAAGTACAAATCATAGGTCTATTTACTGGATAGATCTTTCTTATGTGAAGAGAAAAACTTATCCTTTAACAGTGTTTAATTGGGACCGAGTCTTAATACTTTCATATAGGGTTATTTAAAACCTCGCAAGATTACATAACTCACATCACACGTTTGATCAATAAGTTTTGTTCTTAAGAGGTAAATTAATTTATGTAATATAATTTAACTTTCTGCCAGCAGCTTTGCCCGTGTTTTTACTATATCTCTTTCTATATTGATAACAACCGCAATAAAATCCGTTGTCTAGTTTAAAAGATGGATAGTTGTGGGTACTTCACACAGCGTGCAAACGTAGCGTCGTTCTGTTTATGAATAAAATATAGACCTATATATATTCCGACACTACAATATAATAAACTTGTCAAATTATTTCTATGTAAAATATTGAGTTATGGTGTAATTCCAAATTTTAAAGTTTTTGTTTATGGTGTTAGCTAGGTTACGTGATGCGTTAAGAATATATTTTTTTGTGTATACACAAATGTTACTACGCCCATATATTATACTTACGATCCGCTTCTAGAGTCTCTTGAGTTGATCATACTGCGTGTTCTGATGTTTCACAAATAACCCTGTATAAATCAATCAGTTATTGAATACGGAGTATATTATATTCCAAGTAAATCAACAAAAAGTGGAGATGAAAATGCAATTGTGTACAGGGACGCAACGTTAAGAATGGCGTCGCGCACTCGTCGACAGCTCGCTATAGAGAAATGCAATGAGTTATCGCGAATAGTTGATAACTGGGATAACCGGGACATAGGACAGTGTTGCAACGAATTTATAAGAGGTGAGAATGTTTTTGCAATTATAGAGTTTGAAAATTATAGATATGACGTTCTAGCGTTTTTTAAATTGGTTTTGAGTTTAGTTGTTTTTATTTGAACCACTCATATTTCTGTGTTAGCTAGCATATATAGCTTCATATATATTTTCAATAAATTTTAAAAAGTCATGTTCATACACAAAAAAAATGTTTTTGATTGGTAGAAGTTTGTTCCGCATTCGATTCTTCGTTCTAATAAGTATGTTGAATGTAACTTAACTGTCTATTTGTTATTCTCACCATAAATAGATGGTGTTATTCTTCTAATTTTATATTTTAATTTGTTTTTTGTAACCGTAAAGTTATCTTACATTATCACAAATGATTCCAGAGGACACATTATCGAAGATAGGTCCGGGCAAGAGGATAGCAGAGCGACGCGCTTACTTATTTGACGGACTATTGTTGCTGTGCAAACCAGTCGCAGGACTAGTTAATGCGGTAACTATGCCACACTACACCACACACCATCCAAACTAAAGAACTATTACTCATCATAATATGATGAGTAATAGTTCTTTAGTTTGGATGGTGTGTGGTGTTTAGCAACCTTATATTATAAGGTTGCTTAGGAACAGATGACAGGCAGGTGTAAGCAACATTTTGATGAAAACATATTAAAACGTTTTTTAATAAAATAAAGGGTGATAAAATCAATATCACAGTCACAAAGAATCACATAGTATAAACAAGAATATTATAATTAATGCAAAACTATAGTAATATATAATAAATCATTGAAAATTATTTCTTCATGATTGTAATAGGCAATGTATTTATGTGATACAAAAGATAATTTTTTTAGTATGCCTCTTTTTTTATTAGCAACAAGAAAATTAAACGGCCCGTTTTATTGAGTCCCTTTCATTTATTGAAACCGTTAAATAATTTTGAATAATTTATCTAATATTTCTTTCTCTCTCTTTCTCAACATTACTTATTTGTTCTCTGACAAAATTTAACTTTATATAATATATCGTTAAGGTGAATAGCGGCAGTTTGACGACGGGTGTGGGTGGATCGCAACAGCTCAAACTGAAAGAGAAACTGCATATACGGAAACTTGAGCTTGTTGATAGACCCGATACTGACGGTAAGAGGTTTTCTATCAATTTTATTTTTCTACTTGATTCATTAATGCAGTCTTTTGACCAAAACTAAGTAATAATGATAGTAACCCTCAAGATCAGTGGTTCTTGAGGCTACCACAATATAGGTCAGATTTTCACAATTATCTTCAATAAACTAAAGTTTAAAATAAACGGAGGCTTGAAAGTTTTATATCCTGTAGTGCTGTTACATGTAAATTGTTATTTATATTATCTTATTTTTATACATTATAAGATTTAAAAACAGTCTATTTTTAATGAAAAATACTTATAAAATCCGCCCAGGTATCCCGAGGTGGGATTCGAACCCACAACCTTTCACTATCTATGTGATTGCACTAACGATGGAACTACCAGGGACCCAACTGGACTGACGAATTTTTCAAGCCCTTTTTTTTTAAATATACTAATATAAGAATTGTTTTTCTCCACTCTCAATAGAATTCCGTAATTTAGTGGAGTTATGTCCACGCGTTGGTCCGCCAGTAGTTTTGGCTTTGGGTTCCGGCGCTGAGAAAAGACACTGGATGTGTGATCTAGTAATGCTCAACACTAAACCTATGTTAGACAGGAGCTTAGACAGGTGAGTCCACGACATTAATCTTAGTGTATTTATTAGGTATTGTCCTGATTATTGCTATCACGGTGAAATACTCACCGCTAAAGGCGCTACTATAGCGTTGACAATGGAAAACCATCACAATATTATTTTTAAACTTCGATAGATGTCCTTAGTAATAGCTTCTATTTATATTAACTAAATTCATTTTAATTAATGTAGTGGAGTGACGACACTTTCTTTTTCGAGTTCTTTCGATGTTTATGACGTCACATATCCATTGTTCAGAAAATTTTGATTGACTGTATTTAAATACGTGACTAAAATAATGCTCATCACGGTCGAAGCATAGGTTTTCTTTATAGTTGGAGATATACAATGAAAAAATGCCATAAGTAAATGACTAATGCTTTCCGAAATACGGAGGAGCTCGACATAGTAAGTTCTGCTGTTGTATTTAATTGATGGTTTTTAACCTTTTTGGCAAGCGACATAAAATAAAGATTCTAATGACGCCCGCTATATTGTTAGCGTTCAATACAGGCCGCGAAACTACTAGACCGATTCTATAAAAACTCTCTCACCTACATTATACGTGGGTGACATAGGCTTTAATTAACGCGAGCAAGGTCACGGGAAAACAGCTAACTTTTAATAAAATCAACAACAAATCATATTAATTCCTAAATTAATTTGAAATTCGTTTTATGAAATTTCGATTGGGTGCTTTTAGGGACCACCATCGTTACTCAAAGTCACTTCCCCCTTTTACTCCCACACTCCCCCTTAACTGTGATACAATTTATGGATATTCCCTAATAGTAGAATTTATTCGTCCAGCATCCTACTGGATCTGGAGAGGCGGCATCCGTTGAAACTGCCCCCGGTATCGTTGTATCGGTTTGCGGTACCTGACTCGCCACAGAATATAGTTTTGGAAGAGAGAAGCCCACAGAGTAACGCGCCGCCGCTAATAAAGGTAACTGATTTTATTATGAAAAAGACGATACAAGGAATTTATCTGTTGAATTATTGTAAATGATATTTTCCCTGAAAAGGACAAAGAAAAACGAATAATAACAGCTTAATAATTGCTGCTGGTTAAAAAATTGCTGCAGATTTGTGTATTTAAATATAATTAATGAGTGTATGTATATATGTGTAACTTATTGAAACCAATAAATATCTTCATTATTTTCTGCGATAGAATAAATTAACGAGCTTACCTATATAAAATTTAAAAAAGATAATGTGTCAGGAAACCTCTTTTTAAAGTTTTTATATATGAAGTAAAGATAATAGGCATGGCGACTAATTTTTATTTGTTTGTCCGTCAAGTAGAGTGTTGAAAAATATTACACACGTTTTTTTTTAATTTTTTTCGTAATTATAAAATTACGGTGATATATGTAGTTGAAATTTCGCATGTCGTCACGACATAGTATGTTTTCTACAAAACTGTGACGTAGCGAGCCCCCACACCTCAACTTTAATGCCTGTTATCTAAGCTATTTCTTTTTAAATTTAAGTAAAAAAAATATTTTTAATATTTCTAATATTTTTCTATTATCTGACTGACGGACTAAATAGAATTGCATTTTTTTTACCCAGTCGTCATCCCTATTCACAGTGAATCCATTTTAACAAAATTTGGAAGATGTTTCTTTTCCAAAATCTGTTTAAGATTGTGTGCCGCGCAACTAATAGAATTTCAAAATCATTGAATTCGATCGTAATGCACCTAGTGTAAATCACAATTTGAGGAACCTTGTAAGATTGTGTACATGGAATTGATTTGACAAGGTAAATAAATACCAGAGATGGCAAATCCTTGACCACAGCATGCGATCCGCTCTATTACTACATCAAAAAAGTTATGCGGTAGACTTGCAGATCCTTATTTCATATATGCCTTGTTCTTTTTATTAAAAAAATTTAAACATTGTTTAGGGTGCTACTCTGCTGAAACTGGTAGAACGTCTCACTTACCACATATACGCTGATCTGAGTCTGGTGCGGACATTCCTCACCACGTACAGATCGTTCTGTTCACCGGCTGAACTGCTAGACTTGCTAATAGAAAGGTTCCGGATACCGGAGCCCAGTGAGGTGTATGATGCCCCTAGTAAGTACTGAATTACTTTATTACTAATATACCTATTCTGTTATTACAAAACGAGAACTTTAATACCTAGTTTCAACTATTATCAGACCAAAATAAGCGAACATGTCTCAGCTTGACGTTTTTTCTTTTGTCATTGTCAATATGCTTTAGCCTGTCAATGGTTTGAATCAAGCACAAACTTAGTTCTCAACTACCATTCAGTCTCTCGAGTATGGTGTCTCTACTACGGGATGTTGGCAGAATTGCTGTGTTATAATAAGACAGATAGACAATAATATACCGTAGATTTTATTAAACCTGGATAAGTCATTGCTTGTCCAATTTTCTCGTCTGTATCGAATAAGGATGACAATGTAAATTTCTTTGCGACACTGAACAGTAAAATCTGACAAATTTCTGTAAGCCATTACAAGCCTCAACATTTTCTTTATTAGTTTCATATTTGATTGCGGAAATAAGATATTTTGTATCACCTGGTATATCATAATATATCTATTTATATCAAGACATGAAATGTTTCAAAAAAATATTGACTAATATCAAATTAGATTCATTTAACTTAAGTACAACAAAAAATTATAGCTTGATAAAAAAACGTTATAATAAATATATACAAATATAAAAATATTTTGCGCACGCTAACATAAGTACCGAGGATAAAACCACCCAAGAAAGATATTTGTCACAACACTTCAATATTGGAAATTGACATTGGTAATGTATTAATTATCTTATTACTTTCATAAAAACAATACATTAAATTAATGCCATACTCTTCTAAATGTAAACATCATAAAATCATTTTGCCACTTATTAGTCGCCATGGTAATGTCATTTTAGAACAATATTTTTAATTACATATTTTGATTTTGTTATTAGAAAAGTGACCTTATTCTTTACTGGTATTATGTTCACTGCAACTGTTGATTTTCCCAAAATATATATAAATCAGTTCTGTCACTGAAACATTCCACCACTTGTTAATTCCTTCGGTGATCAATGAATGTCACGTTAATTAAAAAATATTCCGGTGATATAGTTTTGCAATAAGTACAGACAACTACATATATTATGATTTGACAGTGGAGAGCATAGAATGCACTCCCAGCAGCGACGCGGAGAAACTAAGCAAGAACACAGCGAGAGAAGACTGGAAGAGGTATCGAAAAGAGTTTCAGCAACCTGTAAAGTTTAGGTGAGCTTTAGTGATAAAATATACTCTGAATGTATATATAGTAAGATACTTTTATCTCAGGGGTCAGTAACCTTGCTAGAGGGAAAAGTCAAAGTTACAATTTACAAGATTTACCCAGTTTTTAAAGAGCCCCTGAGAGATTTTCTTTCAATATTGTACATATTATATTTGCGATTTTATTAAAATATCTCACAATCGTAATGAGTTTCTCTTCAATCGTAATTGGCAGAATCAAATCGGCAACTGAATCTACCTATTTTCATATTTTGTCTTATGTTTTATAGCTTTTTTAAATATATAAATGATGTTTTGACGAGTACTTTTGCCTTGTGTCTTTTGCAAGTATCCACACCATTTTCTGGTCACCTTCGTCAATAACGGCGTGGGTACTAAACTATGGATCAATTACATTATTTAAAGGGTTGCACCAGTGAATTATTTTGTATTTGTAACTTAAGAGCCATAACTTAGCTCGCGTGCCGGACGTTGCCGATCCTTGCTCTATATCATACATTTAGAATATGTACTTGTGATATTGTTAATCTTTTTTTGTATTATAGTATTGTTTACAGATTTTTTTTATTTGTATAGAAAATAAAATTGTATATAAATTTTAGACTCTTATTTTCTTTGTAATAAGATTTTATTATTTTAACTAATGAATAAAGTGGTAATGTTATTGTCATCTTGTGTGTCACCAGGGTAATAAATGTGCTAAGGCATTGGGTGGATCAACATTTCTACGACTTTGAACGAGAGCCCGTGCTCCTAGATCGGCTCAGGGAATTCCTGGAATCAGTCGACGGGAAACCGATGAAGAAGTGGGTGCAAAGTGTCCTCAAAACGCTCCAAAGAAAGGTATTTCATATAACTGGGGTTTTCGGTGCTTTATTTTGGCTTTATGCCAAGCAAATTGTCATCATTTTAAAGTATCCAATAATCTAGGCGTTATAGCTACTTGGACACTTCATTTGTTAAACCAACTTTTCATATAATTTCATATCAATAACGTTATTATTATAATATAAAATACTATTATCATATTCACTTTTTAAGATAAATTGAACTTGCTCAGATTAGTTTAGTTAGATTAAGTAAGTTAATTTAAACTCCACATTTGTTGTTCGCAACAGGAACTCCTCATTTGGTTAAGTTAGGTTAGAACTGTGACAACAAAACAACATCACCAAAAAAATATAACCTATGATTTTACGGAAGTTGCTGGTTTAACATCATAAGGCAAAGTATAGTGTTAATTTTTGGATAATTTTATTTTTTAGATGATATAACTCTTACGCGTTTTACTATCTTGTCTTCTACCTTTGAGTACTATTTCAAATCATTATTTTAAATAATCTTATGAGATTTGATTTTTAGATGATGTGACTTCTATAAGAATTTAATATTATATTAATATGTATATTGATTTTTATACAAAATGTCGGCTTTAAATATTAAACCACATAAGTTGTATGTAAAATAATTTTTATATTTATTATGGATTGTAAATTTTATATATTTTGCAGTTAATATGTTATATTATCTAATATTTGTTAATTTATTTTGTTCAGAGCGGTCAGAACATGGAATGGGAAGTGGGAAGCGTCTCATCGCTGTCTTCAGTGTCTCACGTGTTTGATAGGGCTCCGCCCCCTGTGCTCAAACACGTAGGGTCCCCAGACAAACATTCGTGGCATCCTCTCTCGCTGCACCCTTTAGAGTTCGCCAGACAGCTAACTTTATTGGAGTTTCAACTTTATAGACAAGTGAGTGTGTACAAGTAGTTTAGAATACGGTACTTGTTTTAGCACAAAGCTCTAAAGTGGATCTTAGTCTCCGACACAAATACTTGCTATATTCGTCTGTTCTAAGCACCTTTTTATACTTTAATCGATATTTACGTATCATTTTACGAATCAATAATATTATAAAGCCGCATTATAGATATGCTCGATCGGTATATATATACGAGGGTCAAACTGAAAGTTCTTAGAACTGGCCACTTATAAACAATATAATAAAAAAATAATTCTAAAATTTGAAAATATAACTCTTTGCCAATATTACTGAGTATATATTTCATTCATTTGTCATTTGTTTTACGATTTGGCGGCAAATTGAAAATTGTCTGTGTCACGTCATCATGAATTTAACACGAGAAAATTTTCGTGCAATGATTTTTTATGACTTTCGATGTCATTTAAGTCAACAAGAAAGTTGTGATAGACTACGATTGGCCTTTCACGATGAAGCCCCATCTCGTGCGACTGTTTACAACTGGTTTAATGAGTTTAAACGTGGTCGCACTAATCTCACTGATGATTTACGTGAGGGACGGCCTTCTACGGCGACGACTGAAGATAACATCTGTGTTGTGCGGCGTATGATAGAGACTGACAAAAGAGTGACCTATCAACAGATTCGGACAAGCTTAGGCATCGGTATGAGTCAAGTGCACAAAATCCTCCACGAACATTTAGCGGTCAGGAAGCTTTGCGCCCGGTGGATACCTTATAATTTGACTGAGGCTCAAAAACTCCATCGTGTGGATTGGTGTCGTAAAATGATTGAAAGATTTAACGGAGGTGACTCAAATGCTGTGTTCGACATACTAACAGGTGACGAAAGCTGGATTTAATGTTATGATCCTAAAACCAAAAGACAATCTGTTCAGTGGGTGTTTCCTTTCGAGGAGTTGCCAACTAAAGTGAAGAGAGATCGAAGTGCGGGAAAAAAAATGGTGGCCTCGTTCTTTGGAAGGATAGGTCATTTTGCAACAATTGTGTTAGAGGATCAAAAAACAGTTTCTGCAGAATGGTACACTACCAATTGTTTGCCACTTGTCTTGGAAAAAGTTCGAGAGAAACGACCTCGCAGTAGGATCCTCCTTCACCACGACAACGCCTCGTCGCACACCGCCAAGCGAACGATCGATTATTTGGCGACATCAAACGTTGAATTACTGGGTCACCCACCGTATAGCCCCGACCTCGCGCCTTGTGATTTTTATTTATTTCCAAAAATTAAAGAAAAACTTAAAGGAAAGCGGTTTATGAATGCTGAAGAAGCGGTGGCTGCGTATCGCGATGCCATTGAAGAGACCCCTAAGGACGAGTGGGCAAAGTGCTTTTCCCAGTGGTTCCATCGCATGCAGCGGTGTATTGACGTGAATGGACAATATTTTGTAAAGATATAATAAAACTAATAACTGGCTAATGTAATCAGTTTTTGATTTTCTAAGAACTTTCAGTTTGACCCTCGTATATCATAAGTCAGGGATTATAGAAGTTAGAACTTATGACATCTTGTCGTAGTATTAGTATGGATACGCCGGTAAAACTTAATTTTATTTTGAATCTTTATTAAATGTATAAAACACTCTTCATCTACTTTATTTATTTTACACAACTTTAATATCGAATATTGGAGTTATTTCCATATTAACATTTACCTGGGGCTCTAAGATCATAATGTTGGATCTTAGAAGAATAACTCATTCCTGTTATTTTTAATGTTTTAATAATATAATGTAACATAATTCTTTTAAATGTAATATATAATAATAAATTAATGAATGTAACACTCTAGTTATTTTATATAGATATCTAAACTATAATTATTTCAGAGACAGAACACTAGAAAAACGCTTACCATATTTACTAAACGGCTTATCAGTGTGTGTTTGTGTATGTAATTGTGTCAAGATAGTAAATTCAATGAAACATCTCTGTTACGTTATTGTAAGTTTGAAATATGTTTATTGTTTCAGGTAAAACCTTCAGAATTGGTTGGTGCAGTGTGGACAAAGAAAGACAAAGAGAAAACTAGTCCCAATCTGCTACGGATTATCAAACATACCACCAACGTGAGTCAATGCTATTTTTTTTTATATTGGCAGATAAGATTTATATTTTTTATTTGTAATTATTAACTGGTCATTCAATATAATGCTGGCATAATACTTAAATGGTCATCAAACATAAAAATAGGAAAAGCTTTCGCAACAGTAGAATCCTGAGCTATATTAAATTACTTGATTATGGTTTTTAAAGGTGCCACAAGAATTGACACATAAGTGTGAGCCAGTCTTTGCTAATGTAACAACGTTCAAATATGTCAGTATCTGAATTTTTGGTGTTATTTTTAATGGTGAACCGGTTCATTTAGCTCACACGATGGATGGAGAAGTGGATAGTGGAGAGCGAGAACTTAGAAGAGCGAGTGGGTGTTGTGTGCCGAGTGGTAGAAGTGGGTATAGCGTTACGGGACTTGAACAATTTCAACGGAGTGCTCGCAGTGGTGGCGGCTTGTGGGAGTGCATCGGTGCATCGACTGAGAAATACGTTCCAGGTCAGTATACATATGTTACAGTTAAAACTAGTTTTTAGATAGAACGTGTTTTCTCTAGTTACAACTAGTTTTTACTAAATGCCTTTGTTTAAACTAGAATTAACGAATACAAAAAATTGTATATCTGTTTAAATTAGTTCTCACTAGACAAGACGCGTTGGTGAAAAACAATTGTGTTATTTGTTAAAAAAATAACCTCGAATTTACTGATGGAAGATGTGAATAGTAACATTATAATAAATATACCGTCAACAAAAAAATTACAATATACCAAAAAACATTATTGTCAATCCATTCTATTTCATGTAGTGATCAAAAGATTGTGCTTTTTGTGGTTTTTCTGTTTGGAGTTTATAAGAATAGTTAAAGTTACGTTTGTGTAAGAACATTCTTATGTATCCATAATGGTCAAGGTGACCCGTGTCCATTACATCACAAAAATCCACTCTGTATACATTCAAAGGATAAGCTTGCGATCGCTACTTCTCTCTTTTTTTACATTTAAGTTTTTGCACGTGAGTCAAACGAAATTGTTAAGGTTGAAATTTAAGATAATCTTAAAGTTCAACCTTAACAATTTGTCATTCAAACAGATGCTCCCACCTCGTCTAATACGCGCGCTAGAAGAGTTCAGGGAATTGAACTCTGACCACTTCCGTCGTTACCAAGAGAGATTGCGTAGCATCAATCCACCGTGTGTGCCGTTCTTGGGGATGTACCTCACTAACATACTACATATAGAAGAAGGGAACTTGGGTAAGTTACATCCCATATTTTAGCAAACATAACTAATTTTAACAAAAGTTTTTCTTGCTCCAGCTTAACCTAGATCAAGTTGCGAATTATCGAATGTAGTGAAATTAATTCAAATTCAAAGTCATTTTAATGTGCTTTAAGAGCTACTAAGAATTCACGAACATGAGATTTAGAAGCAAAAAGTTTATTATATGCTAGGGACAAATCAGTTCACTTGCATTTAGTCTACTAATAGGACTAATTTCGAAATAAATGTTTCAATCAAATTTTAAACAAATCTTAACCTACAAGATGTAAGAATTGTGGGATTTATTAATAGATTAAAACAAAATACTATGGACATGAAAATGGACATATACGTTTGTATATTTCACCTGCCTTCTTATTCTGTACTTTAGTGTTAGTCTACGACATCTATAAGGTCTACTATCGGTGGTAACTTAGATTCTATTGAATGTTTACAGATTACCTGCCCAACTCGGAGTTGATAAACTTCTCGAAGCGACGTAAGGTTGCCGAGATTACAGGCGAGATCCAGCAGTACCAGAACCAACCTTACTGCCTCACGATGGACCCTAAGACCAGGGTAATTATATTTACTTTTATCATATAGTACCTGTTTTCTCGCGACTTTTTCCTCGTAAATTATAGCCTATGTCATCCGCGTATGATACAGCTTCAGGAAGGAAAAAAAAATTTCATGGTCGGATCAGTATTTCCGAAGATTACTTACCCCCCCTACAAACAAAGTTGGAAACTTAACCTCTTTATTATATTAGTATGTTTAGACATAGATACTTAATGATGATACAATATTTACAAAATGATAAATTAAAAGAGCACCGTTCTAACCCAACTTAACTAAAGGCTTCTCTATTTAAACATGTACACTATGATACAACTGAAGTGCTGCATTGATATAGCCAATCATAATAATTCAATTATCACGCCATCAGATAATCAAACAATTTCCACAAGCTTGACTCCCGCTGAGTATGAGTGAGACGGAGGTGTCCATCGCAATCTGTTATAATTTTTACACCTTATTGTTATTCAAACAAGACTTATTTTAAATTTTAATGGTATATTTGGTAACCGTTAGAATTGGTAAATCTGCTCTGCGCAAACAAAGATTACCAAGCGCTTTATTAGTTGAAAATTACTGTACCAAATTATGAATGACACTTGGAAATTTTTCTAAAAATTGACATATAAAATTATATATCCTATATTTTGCTTAAATTTCAAGTTACAGCTGTTAAAACACTAGGTATTTTCGAAGTCCAAATTTGTAAAGGTGTGTTTGTTTTATACTGAGACAATGTAGAAGTTAAATTTTTAATCACCATAACTTTACAGTTAGGTCGTATATATTGCCAACAAGATATTTTTTCCATAAACATATTTGATAAAATAAATTAATGAAAAACATTATTATTATTAGGCGTTCCTCGAGTCCCTGGATCCGTTCCCAGGCATGGATGACAATGAAATCACCAATTATTTATACGCGAAGAGTCTAGAAATCGAACCTCGACCGCCGCTCAAGCAGATGCCAAAGTTTGTGAGTACTTACCACGTTGTTAGTGTATATGGAAATCATATGATATTGTGGTGTGAATTATTAGGCGTCGAAATAGGTCTACTATTTGGTATATAGCAACCGTTGTCTAGTTTTTGGAACATATAGCTCATGTAGAATTAAAATGAGTAATAAATTTATTTAGACATATGAAATGTCGTACATCGTGTAATTTTTTTATTAAACATGGAACTAAATTTGCGCTATAAGCATGAAATCTGTTATCTAAATTTATGTAAGAATTTAGTAAAACAATATGTACATGTAAAACTTACTTGTGTTAACAATTAATAATACATTAATGCAATGCAAATTAAAATGTTATATGTTATGTTATATGCGTACTTTTATTTAATTGAATATTATATATGTCTTAATTACTTATGGTTTGTTGTTATTTAGCCCCGTCGATATCCGGAATTGTCATTGAAGCAAGTAAAAGTGTCGCGGCGACATCATGACGCACCCGCTCACTCCACCTCAAGCAACGATGACAATCTCAGTAAGTTCACACGTATACGTACGCACGCGAACAAAAACATACGAACACATATTCGATACCGGAAATATCAATTAATGTAAGGGACATATACCACGGTTTTTCAGGAGAGCTAAAAAACGATTTCACTTTCCGTAATCTGTCTATATCTTTTAATTGTTTGGTCCGATTTAGACGATATCTAGGGCAAAGTTTCTTAGATTTTTGCATTCTTTAATGCTATAGAATCAAAATATAAGAAAAGTTTCTATTTTCCGAGATAGCTTGTCCCTTACATTAAAAAAAAAATATTTACTTGTGCCTTACACTACTTTTATTTAACTTGGGAGCTGTGACAAAATAATGTAGGAAACGTAAAGATATTAAAAACTTATATCAGTTTAATGTAAAGGTAAAGGACTCTTTCGAAATGAATTAGGATTTACCTTTCACAAGTATAATTTGATATCAATTAAAAAGCTTATTGTCATTGAATTAAGATCTATGGTTTACACACTCGTGCTATTAACAGATTACCAATAATATCTAAGTGTGTACCTATTTTATTTTAACAGCTAGTATGATTATAATAATTTTTTAAATGAAACTTACTATACATTTGTGTATTTTTTTTATTGTTTCAACATCAATCATCAAAATCGTTATTTTAATAGATACAGACATTTTTCTATATGTAAACAAGATTTATCTTAAAATATTGTATCATTAAACTGCACTTCTTACAAATTTATTAATACTTAAATATCTTGTAAATCAACACTGTTATTGGTTTAAAATAACATTATTATAAAGATAGAGTATTTAACTGTCTTGAATCAACATCTTTTTGTTTAAATATAACATTATTTTAGCAAATAAAATCTTTTACTACCCGTAGAAATATTATAAATACTAACAAAAGTGTGTAAGTACCAGAATTTAATATAAACAAACCTATAAATTGACAGATAAATTATATCATGATTAAAACCGTACTCCCTACTTACTAATTCAATACAATCATCTCGAAATAAATCAACAGGCTTTATTTTAACTTTAATAAATTAGGTAACCAGACTGCCTCTTTGTTCACATTGACCGAATTAAAAAGTTACTTTTTTTGTCAACTGGATCCTCATAGAGCTACTTAACTGTAAAGTTTTATGTGATTTTATCTTACAAAGTAACAAGCATGCATTCAATAACATTCTCCTTTTCGATAATAAAGTTAGTATAAAATTAATGCACCTAGTCAAAGTTTATCCGTATTGTTGTAGCTTATGAGGATGTAATTGAAATAATAAAAATATTTAAGACTATAATTTAGTTTGGTTTCATTTGATTCATCATTATCCTCGTCATTTTCATCAGTATCATTGAGAACATCGTGGACTTTTGCTTTATTTGGGAGGCGCAAATATTAATCATGGAATCTCTTTGGAATAATACCAGTATCACATAATTTTTTGAGATCATTGTATTTTGCCACTGAAATTGGCAATCGTTCCCTATAAAGGAGTGATAAAATATCATCCGAACTTCTACTTCCTTCTTTATTTTCATTTACTTTATCTGAGTCTTTTTTCTGTTTACCTTTATTTGTCCTCTTTCCTATTCCTTTTGTCTGGAGAGAACAATATTATAAGTGGTACCATTTTCATGCATTGTATATTTCACTTGCATATGAGCCAATGCAGATTTTTTAAAAGTGCACACTCTTATTTGTTTCATACGCAGATCTTTGTTTTTAAGGGTTGCTTGAGTAAATATGGTATCCGATAGATTATTAAAGTTTATACAATCTGTATGTTCCTATACCTCTACAGAATAAGGCTTTGGGCGCTTTCTGGCAGTCTCCATAAACGTGGCCCATTGAGATGGTGCCCAAATAATCAAATTTTTTACTTCCCTTTCAATTACAGCGTGCATACTTTTATATACTATCGACCGGCATGTATGTATGGCCAGGAAGGAGGTAGTTTATTTGTATTGTTTGTAGATTTTGAGATGTTTGCAGGAAATATTTGAACAGGGATAATATCACTCTATTTTTATTCTGTCCCGTACAGTTATCACAGTAAAATATTAATGTTTTTACTCCTCTGTTCTAAACTTCTTTTAAATAACGAGTAAGGCATGTTGCTTTTTCACAACTTCCCCTTTTACCGTCTCCTTCCCCCCATGTATAGCAATATCCATTTTGTGTTTTACACTCGTATACTGTAAAATTATATACAGCATACAATATGATTTTGAATCTGTTAGTAATAATAGTGTAGGTGCACTTATTTGTATTTTTTTTAAAACCAACTAAGGTAAGGGACAAATTTTACAAATATATTTTCCGTGCAAATGATGTAAATTCAAAATTTAAATAATAAAAGTTCAAAATTTAAATAATAAAAGTCTTATGTAAGAGACATATTTATTTATAAATTGAGATACCTTATTGAGATTATTAGAGAGGATAAAAAACGTCCTTTAAATTATTTTTTTCTTTTAAAATGTGCTTAGCCCATCAAAAAATCTTACTGTAAGGGTCCTTTTTTTTTAAAGATATCGTAATTTCAAGTATACCAGTCGATGGAGCGGAACGAGCCGATTTTAATGATATATATAACTCATTTTGCCCAAAATGTCCCTTACCTTAATTGATATTTCCGGTATCGATATATGCACGTACACGAACACTTATACGCACGCACACTATTATATACACACACGCATGAACACGAAAACATACACGCACGCAATCATACAAATATACGCATGATGAACAGAAACGTGCACACTCACAGACACCAATACGCATATACACGCAAGCACGCACATGTACAAATAATACTGGTAACTGTTTATTTTAATTAAAAAATAAGCCTTAAACTTTTTTTATACCCGCGAAAACGCTGTCCGTCATATTCATGACATAATTGTGGTATGTACACAAAACAGACGCATAGAGTAGAAGATTAAGGGTATGGTCCGATATACACTGCGAGCACTGCGCAGTGGTCTTACTGCTGAAAAATCCGTTCCGTTATCGACTGCCAGTACACTGCTACAGTACCCTAGGGAAATTTATGACGTCATAAATTGCCGCCATATTTGTACTGTGAGCACTGGAGATTTCGAGGTAAGGTGCTCGCAGTGCTTTTGATCACGTGATCAGTCGAAACAGAATCAGAAAATGATAAGTTTCTAAATAAATAAAAAAAAATACTTACGTTTATTTATAAGATGGATTTAATTGATAAATAATTTTTTTATACAATTTTCCAATTTTCTTTTGAAAAGAGGGAATCTTTATATTTATATTCACCTTGCATTAACAAATTTGAAAATGGCGCCAAAAAATAGGATTAACAGTATACTGGACTGCGTTCCGTTTTAAAAAGTCACCAGTATAACTAGCTATAAAGGAACGGGCTTCCAGTATACTAAATTGACGTCATACTGTTCAGTGGTCGTAGTGTATATCGGAACATACCTTAAAAGATGTCAATAAAACAAGAACAATGCCATCTAACGATCGATTACAAAATAAAAAGTTATAAATAAGCTAAGAACAGCCAAATCTAGGAATTTGATTTAGAATTAATAGACATATCTTTGGGACTAAACTGACAGTAGTCATCACATTGACGTCACTCAATGGCCGTGGTTCAAGTTACGTGACATACAGAAAAAAAATCACGATACTTCATTTTAAGATAATAGGATAATCGTGCGATTTTAAGAGTAGAAATTAGAATCTCTATGTTTATTACGATGTAAATTTACTTATAACTTATTTTTCACTACCGAAATTACCCCATTGACGAACTTAGAGATAATAATACCCATTTGGTCACGAATGTACTCATTAATGTTATATGGAGATTTTGCTATTTTTTCCTTAACTAAAGGGAATTTCTCTGAAAACAAAAAATCAAGGAAATTAAAAATTATATGTGTTATAAATATTTGTGTTTTTGTCATCAGGTGTATCTCAACTGTCACCCACTAGCGGCAGCACGTGGGACGGCACATCCGTAGCCTCATTGCAACTCCATACGGATGACCATAGAGGTACTAAACGTGTCATTGTCAGCCTGTTAATATCCCCAGTTCTAGAGCACAGGCCTTCCCTATGGATAGATTGAAATAGATTTAACTAAATTTATAAAAGTTTTTATTTTTACAATTTTCGATATCATTTTTTAACTTTTGAAATATAAGTCGCTATTTAATGATTGGATTTCTGCTAAACTTATCAATTTATTATTAAACAAAATCTTCATTGTTTGAACTAAACGAATAATTATTGTGTTATATTATTATAAAACAGTTAACTACAATTTGTTTGTGCTTTGCGTGCATGGTTTTGTATTATTTATGATCTCCCCTCTATTTTACCCCTTTAGGGGATATAAGTCATGTATAAGTCAGTCAAGTTTGCCTTATATGTACTTATATATATAATTTTTACTTATATATATTATATATATAATTAATGTTATTAAATCTCGCTTAAATGTATATATAAATTGATTCAGGTAGTAAATGTGACGAGCGGAGTTTAGCAAGTCCTCGGTTAGAGAGAGCGGGCAGCAGCTCATTCGGCCAACTCAGTCTCTTAGACAAGGGGCTAGCCTTATTCGACAAGGGCAAGAGCACCGTATCACTCAATAGCAAGTCAGTATTACGATGTTTAAGACTTCTATGTACGAGTATAGTGTACAGTTGGTCTGTGCGGCACAAAAATAAACTATCTCAAGATATTGTATCAGCACAACAGCAACGTTTAGTCGTTTGCGAGCTAGATAGCAGATCGGTTGATGCGCCGCGAAAGTTGTAATTGACAGAAATACACTTATACTTACATGTGAATTTTGTTGACGTGATTTTGTATATTTAAATGTGTCACTATCTATTGCAATTTGCAACCTCATACTGTAACATTTTAAGAGTAGAACAGCTCGTCTGTTAGTATACATAGAAGTCTTTGGTTTAGGCACTTATAATATACAGGGTTATTAATGAAACAATTACAACACCGGTTTAGGCAGCTAACATCATATACAACAATATTTCAGTTACTGCTTTTAAATTGCTGAAATTGATGAAAAATAACATTTTTTTTTTGTATAAAATAATAAAAGTCAGCAAATGTGTTGTTGTTTATGCCGCTAATAGCTAGTCCCGCGAGGTTGTTAGTGTTTTACAATTAGCCCGGTAAAATTGACATCGTATAAATAATCATTAACACGTGAAGTAGACATATTGTAAGGCTGATAATGATGATGATGCTACTTTTTACAGAGGATTAGGTCGTGACGAGCCGCCTTCACCGCGTGACCGACATTCACCGAGACATGATAGGTGAGTTTTCACATGGATATATTAGCACTATAGTCTGATTTTTAATTAGATGGATAGATTTCGTGTCACGAAAGAAGTTTCGGTGCTGCAGTCAAAAGCCTGGGGGATGCCATCTTGTGATTTTCCAGTCCCCAAACATTATATTTATATATTTGAACTATAGTAGTTAGTAAGTTATAGTATTTGAACTATAAATATAAATATCACTATCGTGATCGGACTTGGTTTCGCAATCACTAGCTGTAGAAACTATAAGCCGGTCCATTTCATTATCTATCAACCTGTTGACTTTCAAATATTTATATTCATGGTGCTCCAAATATTTATATTTTTTAAACGATATGTGTAAATATACATATCGTATATTAACACATATCGTAAAACATATTTTAATATGTATTAATATAATCGTAACTTTCCCAAATACACAACAACGCAATCCTTCAACATAAATACTATATGTTAAATAAGTGAAATTAAATAAAATACCAAAGTAAATAACACACAGATAGCAACCCAAAATAGATATGAATGAATCAATCACAATGCCTGACAACGACGATATGGCTGATCTGTCATTTTAGTTCCACAAATTGCCGCTGGCCTTTCGTGAGATATACCCTAGCTTAATAGTTATGAGTAACGAGCCCCCACTCTTCCACTTTAATGTCTATTATCTAAGTTGTTTCTTGTTAAATTCATTATCCCTATATCTTAGGACTGGTTCGTTGAGTGCGGGGATAGGAGCGGGCTTAGGGCTGGGTATGAGTGCGGGAGGCGGCGAGCGGGAGAGGAAACCGCAGGCGTTGTCACCGCGCGGAGCCATTGTAGACTCGGAGCTGTTCTACTCCAGAACTAACAGAAAACCAGATCAGGTATGTTTGATTATACACTGAAAGTGTTATTAATAAACAAGGTTTAGCGTTTGAGTAAATTTACGCTGAGACTGCACTTAGTTAAAATTCAAATTAAAAGAGACTTAGCAAAGGTTACCCTAGTACGAGGTTCTCCTGGAGTAATATTAACTCCTAGAAGGTAGTAGGTTTAGTTATTTTCTGTATAATATGAATTTGGACTTATAGTAAAATTGCAATTTTAGCGTTTATTTACTCTGACGCTCAACCTTGTTTATTAATAGCACTGGGAGAGTTTCTAATTGAGCTTTGTTTTGTATCATTAATTATCTATCGTATTGTAAATAAATTTATATGATGATGATATGTAACTCTGACGAATTAACATGATACCTGATGGCCTATTCTAATTGTTCTCAAACGAGAATTGTTCTTATAATTTTGTTAAAATCATATCCGTGCAGATTAGACAGTGTCACGTCCTACTACCATTGCATTATAAATTATTGAAAAAAGTGTTTTGTTTGGAGTTGAATTAGCATTTTTAAAGGAGGCGGAATTTCGTTTTTCGAGGAATTGAATAGGACTTCGAGTTTAATGTTAATAACTTTAGAACGATTGCACCAAATTACATGATGACATTTTTTTTGTATCTTATTGCTATAATATATACGTTATTATAGCCACGTGGCCATGCAGATCGTGAAACAAGTAATTGTTATGCGTTGTAATATACGTAGCAGTGGTACAGATAAAGCACTCGATGGTGGTAAGTGTGTTCGGTCTGCCATGCCATGCTTACACAAGGGTTGGACGATGGGTGACAAAAAAATATTATCTTTAGCTCTTCGGGCTTTAGAAGTCATGTTAAGCCAACCGGTACCAATTGTCGGGCTCTCGTAGTGTATTATGGTTAATTATCTAACGGGGAAAATAATGAGCCGATCATGATGATGTATCGTTATGTATACGTCCGGTGTTTTGTAATAGGAACGTGTGCCGCCATTATTACCGCGCACGTCACCAGGAGCGCCTCCACCCCCGCCCCGACCCACATCACCCAGACACCATACACACCAGCCGCAACCGCTGCATCAACAACACCCCCCCGCTGGTGAGTTGTTTCATATTTATTTTGATTAACACTTCGATTCTATTTATCATATTTCTGTTAAAATGTATAGCTGTTTTGTCATGAGCATTTAATAATAATTATTATTACCAATAGTTACAATTCTGACAATTGGTTAATGATATTTAACCATTAGTCGATGTTTTTAACGAATGGTCAAGTTAACCATGGATAAAAAAACTGGCCCTTATACAGGGTTCTATCTAAAACACCAGAAATCTATCTTTGAATAAAAGTGATTTGATTCAACCTTTGAATACTTTTTTTTAAGAACGGATTAAAAAAAAAGTCTTAGACTCAAGTATTATATAAACGTAAATTTTTTGATTTCGTCGAATTTCGTGTCCTATTTTTCATTATCGGACCTCCCCTTGTGTGGCATCAACTTTGTATCAGTAATGACATTTCGTCTTCAGGTGAACGCGTCTGCTTGTAAAAATTTTTGATATTCAATAATACAATCGTTATTTACAGTGAACGCAACGTGGTCGCCGCCTAGTGAACCAATACCTAGTCCAAAATTACAAGAACTAAGCAGGTAGGAAATAAGAGTTTTCATGATAAACTTTAGTCCCTAAAGTTTATTGTTTAATAATTTTGATAAAATATATAATGAGCAAGTAATACAATACATACGTACAGTTCCACTAAAAACAGATGTCGTTTCATGATTAAAATTATCATGTTATTGGATACTATTTACAATGCCGTGTAAATGATAAAATATTGCGAACCAGGCATCTGTATGTCACTTCTGTCTTTTTGATCGTGACTTTTGTACGCTTAGCACGTTGAATCTGGTATTTATTTATAAAATATTACTTGTTAGTTAAACTCCTTACATTTGAAAATATTTAGTTTTTTATATATTTCATTCGTTTGATATTATAAATTATATATTATTATATTGTGGTCGTAGACTTCGCGATTCTGATAGACAGAATGTAATTCAACAGTATTACTTTGAAATGATGTTTAAATTTGGTGTTGGTGTTGAAACGGTGACTATATATACATCTGTTGAATTCTATTAAATAGATATATATATATAGTCACGTTAATAACGTGGCTACGCGTCTATCTACGTTTTCAATAAGTAAGCTTTTGCACATTTACTAGTTCAGTTATACTTTAAACGTGAGTAAAACATGTATATTTTTCTAATAATTTTTCTATTTGTAATTTCAAAATTATTTAATTTTGTAATAGATTGCCCGGTATGTCTCCGAAAAGATCACCAGCGCCGCAACCTCCTGTCAGTCCTCTACATAATGACAGGTAATGTTGAAAAGTGTGTTATATAAACTTTTTGCCTTTAGTTTCATCTCAACGTTCACATTTAAATAAAAATAATGTCGTCGCATTAAATCCTTTAGAATTTTACAGATAAAAATCATACCAGAACTAGTTTATTGAATTTTACGCGACGTGATTTATAGATACATCATCTTAGCGATGTTGTGGTGATGTTTTGTTTGATTTTCACATTAATGAGGACGAACGAATGATAAGGATTTTTCTAACAAATGATATATCAAGTGGTAAAATGTCGTATTCTATAACTAGAGAGTTAGGCGGTTTCAACTATTTATTTTATATGCAATAAAACAACTCAATATCATTTACCTACACTGTACTCGTGTATTTATATGTTTATACCAAAGAGATAGTTCGTTTGATACATGTAAATTATAATTGAATAGGAGCAGCGCGTTCAAGTTTCCGTCTGCTGCCCCCGCGCCCGTCACAGCACCACCGCCCCCGCCCCCGCCCCCACCCCTCACACCGCATCGTGAGTATCGTACATCATATCTGTCACACTTATACATTTGGCAACTTAACTATTTTGGGAAAAGTATTTTTAAACTTATCAGATTTATTTTTCTCTATGTGGTGTTACTAAACAAAGGAAAAATATTTTTATTCATTAATTTAAATCCACGATAACAATCAGTCACATGACATTTCGAACCGTTACTTCACATTTAAATAAACACGAGTCATTGATTGTACTCTCAAGAAAGACGTTGACGTTTATTGAAACGTGACGTCACACTATGTCCTTTTATGGCCGCCCGCGTTACGATTCTTGTAATCCACTGATTATAAATCGGGAGTTAATTTTGCTAATTAAAATATACTTAAATTTATTTTAAAATTAAAAATACCACATACTTATTGTTTATATGTAACTTAATGTGGTTAGAGCAGTCGCCCGGATTGCGAAAGGTCATAGATTCATGTCCCATCTCAGAGTGCCAGGGACAAAGTAGATTTTTAAGTGTTTCATTAAGAATATTTTCAACATATCTCATAATTTATTTTAATTATTGTCGCCTAGCTATTGGTCACTCATCTATTCATCAGCCTCTTCTTAGTTCTTTATGTTTACTACTTTGCTAATACTAATTATTGAATATTCGTAGTTATCAAATAATACATAAAGTAAAACACAACTATGGCTCATTGCTCAGAGTAATCTTGATAAAATTTTGATATGTCTTTTTCCAAATAACCAAAATTAATGTACTGTGTAGTCAACAGCTACTTGATTTCAAACCCTAATACGTTGAGAGTGAAGTTCAGAATCGACTGCAGAAAGAACATTGTGGTATACTAACATTGAATGGGTTTTTGCCAGCGGTGTCGTGCGGCACTCCGCCCCCGCTGCCCCCGCGTCGCCGCCGCGACTCCGCCGCTCCCCACACCCCCGCCCCAGCACCGGACACTCATGTAAGTACAGTACAGTCATAGCATAATCAAAGAAGTATGCTGACTCGGGGATGTGTTCTACAAGTGAATATACAGCTTTCTGTTATATATAAATGAATCCCTATTTCGCTTGATCACGCCATCACACGTGAATGGCTGCACCGATTTCGCTAATTTTATTTGTTGTGTTTGTTATTGTCAGGAGAACGTCCTTATGAAAGAAAATAATAAGATGATTGTGTGGAAATTTAAGAATATTTAACCCCATTTTTTTCCTAATCTAACCTTAGTGCTTTGGATAATATAAACGTTTTTTAATCTAACCTTATGACTTTTAAATGATATTTTATTATGTGCTGCATGTTTGTATCGCGGTATCTGCTCGTATACGTACAGTAAGCGTACGTTTCACGATCATCCCGTGTGCTTAGGTTACTAGGTTGCGTTCAAATCTCGTTCTCGATTTTAAAATACGCCATGTACTTGTGGCCTAATATAAGTTTATGATGTGTAGAGAAGCAGCCAGTCTAGCAGTAGTTGTACTCCGCCGCCGTTACCGCCGCGCCCCGCTCCTGCGCCTGCGCTCCCCGTGCCTGCCCCCGCCCCCGCCCCGGAGTTGCTGCGTCCCGCTCACTCCACTATATTGCAGCGACGGCATCATTCCAGGTACCAAAAATATAATCTAATCTCATCATATTGGTTTATGGCACTCGCTTTGCCAGTATACGGGTGTAGACAGTGAACAAAATTAAATACATATATTTTTTCTGCTATTGATTGGCTAGTGTTAGTGTTTATACATTATTACCACTTTTATACTTATCATATTTATAACTATAAAAAAAAACAAATATTTTATGCTCCTTGTCACGCAACCGCAAATAGCGCGTAACGTCACGCCCCTATAGTCATATCAGAACTCAGAGAATGCAGCCTTATTCATACATAGAACAACACTTGACGCCATGACAGAAGTGGTATCTTCGCGGGAAATTTTGAAAATTAAATTTATTTTTGGATTTAACTTATTATATGAATGATACTTTTTGAAATATTTTTTTAAGTTATATTCCATGTGTATCAATAATATAAAAAAGTTGTCTACACCCCTGTTGCTGATTTATAACGTAATTAAGTATACAAGTAGTAACTAGATTTTTAACTTAATTTGAAGTAAGAAATTAAATAATAAGTAAAAATTTTGGTAACTAATTATGAGCTTAATTGAATTAAAAATTAGATTTTGTCTACTACATATATCCTTAATTATGAATGAACCAGCCATAAATGTCACTTTTATCAAATCGAGAGTAGTTATCGTATAGGCGTACCCGAGAAATGTGACATTTATGTGTCGAAAAACGTTCTCGCATTTATCATCCTCTCCGCGTGCATGTGTCATCATGTTAATACATATTAGAGTTATATTTATGTGATACAGTATGGCGCCGCGGTTGCCGCCGAAGCCTCCGCCCGCATCGGGCGTGGGCGGGGTGGGGACAGTGGCGGGTGGGGTGGTGATGGGCGTGGCGCGCGGCACGTAGCACGCAAAGTGCGTGCTGCGCGCCACTGCCCCTGCGCCCCGCACGCTCCACATACACTACACCTCCGACACGCTGTGACTCATATACCGCTCGCATGATACCCGCTCCGCAGCACTGATCTCTGTATATATAGTCCGTATCACATAGCATTGGTACGATGACGTTTGTTAAAAATCTATTTCGTGCAACTTGTATTTCTTACTTATTAAAAACCATAGTTATGAAATTTAATTAGACTATGTGTAGGTATTAGATATTTATTTAAGTTTTCTTATTAAGACACAAATAAGTTTTAAATTGCCATAATTACTGAAACCTAACCCTTTAAAGTTTGAAGCATACTTATATCGAAAATTAAAGGACCTTCTTTAAAATTTTTGATTATTTTTCGGATAGGGGTTATCTTTTTGATGAATTAACCACAAAATCGATTATATATATGAACTCAATAATATCAATTTTTTATTAATATATTTTTTTATTACCACATCATCAAAACTTCAGTATCCAGACGTCACCGTAACCATGCTATGTAAAAAAGACTATAGTAAAAAATAAAGTCGCTTGTCGCTGCCGTACGCCGTGTACGAGTGATGCAAGAGGATGGTTTATCTGTATAACGCAGAATCACGCGGCCGAAACCGCTGGCGGAAAGTTAGTATACGTATTGTTAGAGAGAAAAAGATCGACTACTACTGGCAGCACTAATAGTCGATTTCACGAGTAACACTATCTGTCGGTTGGCTATCATTGTCATTTTTGACTCTGACATTTGATCAGCTTCGCGCCAATGTGCTAGTGGGTTGTCATTCGTGTGAAACTATTGGAATCGGTATGGAGATTTTCAATATATCAATTGAAGAGTAAAATGCGTCTTTCCGTATATACATGATACATACCGAGCTGGACCACGTGATCGAACGATACTAGTGACGTATCTCCGTTATGGATAACGTGCAATAGCACCAAGGATGTATACCACGAATACGGTAAATCGTAATCGTTAATTAGTAATTACTGTTCAGTGTGGTCGTACTAGAGTGGTCAGTGATTTTTAGTGCTTTATCGACTTTAAGCTTTGCGTTGTAAGAATTGTATTACGATTACGGAGTATTGAAAAAACTTACATCGAAGATTATTATGTTCGCATGGTGACTTGTAAAATTACTTGCAAAATATTTTCAAGTTGGAATACTCCTTGTTTCCTTGGAAGACTTAATAAACGAAAAATGGTGTTGATGAAAAATGTACAAAAATTCTAAATTATAGCGCTCTGAATGACTTAAAGTAGAAATGACTGTGTTAAATTGAACTCTCGATTCTGTGTAGTTAAAATTATATTAACGGCGGCGTGCTCTTGAAGTAGTCAGTAAATATGCTTGATAAAAACTCGAACTTGAATTCGCTTAAATATTTAATCATTGTGATAATCCAAAATTCAGTGTTTTTTTTTGGTACGAATGTATTACACAGAATAAGTTCAAAAAATGTGTCTCGCATTTAAATAAATCGTCATAAACACATTTATCATTTAATTGTTTAAGAGCGCACCAGAAATTGAAGCTGTGCAATTCTTAACATTCCATTAATTGTATGAAGTTCCTTTTTTCAATAAAAAGGGAAGTGATTAATCAAATTTGTCGGTATTAACAGTATCATTTTATAAATAGATTCTTCCAAATCAGAACACACATTGAATAACCAAAGCTAACTTGCCCTTGAAGACGTAATTGCGTATAGCATATTCACATGTATTCAATATTTTTCTTTGCTCATAAATATTTTATCTCACCATCATCACTTTATTTCACTTTATTTGTTTCTTCAATACTTTTTTTTATATTGAAATCCATGACTTACTATGATGTATAATGTATCAATCGAAATACATTCACCATTCAATGTTGTATTGGACGTACACACTGTATCTAACAATACAGTATTGAACGTTGAGTGCATTCTGATTCGATCTGATTTCGAGGTAGGCTTGCACAACCAACTTGGTCTAGTTTGCTGCCAGTACATGACCTTGCTGTGTACACAGTGACCGATCAGAAATGGGCAAGGACAATTTTGATTGATTAAAACATAACCATCAGTTTATTTGTCGTCGTGGTCTTTAAATTTTGGTACTGCTTACCTCAATACATATAATAATAATATAACCTCCACCTTTGAGCTTAAAAAAAAACAATAAAAATTAATATTATTTTAAATTCCATCATATAAAGCAAAACGTCGACAGATAAATCCTATCCAGTGCCAATGAATATATCTATAAAAAGAATCTTCACAATTCGGATGTGTGTTAGAGAGAAAAAGATCGACTACTACTGGCAGCACTAATAGTCGATTTCACGAGTAACACTATCTGTCGGTTGGCTATCATTGTCATTTTTGACTCTGACATTTGATCAGCTTCGCGCCAATGTGCTAGTGGGTTGTCATTCGTGTGAAACTATTGGAATCGGTATGGAGATTTTCAATATATCAATTGAAGAGTAAAATGCGTCTTTCCGTATATACATGATACATACCGAGCTGGACCACGTGATCGAACGATACTAGTGACGTATCTCCGTTATGGATAACGTGCAATAGCACCAAGGATGTATACCACGAATACGGTAAATCGTAATCGTTAATTAGTAATTACTGTTCAGTGTGGTCGTACTAGAGTGGTCAGTGATTTTTAGTGCTTTATCGACTTTAAGCTTTGCGTTGTAAGAATTGTATTACGATTACGGAGTATTGAAAAAACTTACATCGAAGATTATTATGTTCGCATGGTGACTTGTAAAATTACTTGCAAAATATTTTCAAGTTGGAATACTCCTTGTTTCCTTGGAAGACTTAATAAACGAAAAATGGTGTTGATGAAAAATGTACAAAAATTCTAAATTATAGCGCTCTGAATGACTTAAAGTAGAAATGACTGTGTTAAATTGAACTCTCGATTCTGTGTAGTTAAAATTATATTAACGGCGGCGTGCTCTTGAAGTAGTCAGTAAATATGCTTGATAAAAACTCGAACTTGAATTCGCTTAAATATTTAATCATTGTGATAATCCAAAATTCAGTGTTTTTTTTTGGTACGAATGTATTACACAGAATAAGTTCAAAAAATGTGTCTCGCATTTAAATAAATCGTCATAAACACATTTATCATTTAATTGTTTAAGAGCGCACCAGAAATTGAAGCTGTGCAATTCTTAACATTCCATTAATTGTATGAAGTTCCTTTTTTCAATAAAAAGGGAAGTGATTAATCAAATTTGTCGGTATTAACAGTATCATTTTATAAATAGATTCTTCCAAATCAGAACACACATTGAATAACCAAAGCTAACTTGCCCTTGAAGACGTAATTGCGTATAGCATATTCACATGTATTCAATATTTTTCTTTGCTCATAAATATTTTATCTCACCATCATCACTTTATTTCACTTTATTTGTTTCTTCAATACTTTTTTTTATATTGAAATCCATGACTTACTATGATGTATAATGTATCAATCGAAATACATTCACCATTCAATGTTGTATTGGACGTACACACTGTATCTAACAATACAGTATTGAACGTTGAGTGCATTCTGATTCGATCTGATTTCGAGGTAGGCTTGCACAACCAACTTGGTCTAGTTTGCTGCCAGTACATGACCTTGCTGTGTACACAGTGACCGATCAGAAATGGGCAAGGACAATTTTGATTGATTAAAACATAACCATCAGTTTATTTGTCGTCGTGGTCTTTAAATTTTGGTACTGCTTACCTCAATACATATAATAATAATATAACCTCCACCTTTGAGCTTAAAAAAAAACAATAAAAATTAATATTATTTTAAATTCCATCATATAAAGCAAAACGTCGACAGATAAATCCTATCCAGTGCCAATGAATATATCTATAAAAAGAATCTTCACAATTCGGATGTGTATCGGTATTATAAATATATCGTCAGATTTTATAAATTGTAGTGACATTAAATTATTATAGTTATCGCTATAAAATATGCATTTATGTAAATATAATCTGTCTAATATATATAAACAAGGGGTTAGGCTACAAACTTTTAGAAATAATTTTAAAATTAAACCACGAAATTGTTTATTATAATTTTTTATCTACTTATACTCTATTAATATGTCTAAAAACTCAATTCAACTGTTTTCCATCTAATTTGTTTTTAATTAAAATCGATTCTAATAAAGTTTATTTTGGGGTTCCCTATATATATCTATTCTACAATATTAAGTTTATATATTCGACTAAAAAGATTATTTTATTGTACAGCAATTCGCCTCTACGTTATAGTGTTAATGTGTAAATAAAAAAAAATAATTTGTATAATACAAAAACGTTATCGATAGAGATAATAAGAATGAATTATCCAATCCAATAGTATATTCTTTCAAGGGTAGAGGCAATTGTGTAGAATGACAACTATTGATATAGACAATATTTTAATTATAAGTTAATTATGGTGAGAGAATGTGTAACTAATTGCACTCTGCAAGAATCATAATTTCTTGTGCTACAAGTAAATGGTGCAAGATTTCTTGACTGTACTTGTTATGTAAAGATGTATAGTGTATAGCGCGACGAACGCGAGACGAACATTATTGTTTCTCATTGTAAATGAATGACATAATATGATATAAACAATTTTATTTGTATACTAGCCCCTTGACTATCACATATGAATAATAATAAACGATCTACTTCTTACAAATACTATAAGCGCTTAAGAATTATGGGACCATACATATAAGTATTGTACATTTGGAATAACCGCGTAACCCCTGAACCTGGTGATGAATGCTCGTCATGCTCGAATGTAGTGTTTGTGAGAGGTAGTATGTAAATATTTAGGACGTAACTTTATAATATAAAAAGAAATATATGTGTAGAAAGGTGTTTTAAACTTATTAAAAAACTACAGAACTATTAGCAGGAATCATTAATAGGATTTATTTTTATATATTTTTAATACACGAGAATGATATGACAATTTGTTTACTTTTTCATATCATTATCATATATCAGTGATCAGTTTTGAATACAAAAACATATTGATGAGCCCGAAGAATAGTTTTTAAGTTTAATAATAGGATTAATAAAATTGATATAGAGTTATATAACACGACGTCCTGACGTTACATTTGTAAGTATCGATATTAAATTTTAAATTCAATGCTACATAGACCATTATTAATTGTTTTTCATTATTTCCATATGATACACGGGAGTAGTGATAAATAGGTGCTTTTAATATATTTTATATCTGATGTTAAGGTGTTACCCAAAGTGTGACATATTCCTCCACTCAGCCTGTTAGAAATAAGTGTAAGCAACTGAAATTTGAAAATACATATGTGAAAAGGACATAATCGTCAGGTCGTCGTGGTAAACGT